ATGAAAACAACAACAGAAACCGCTACTGTTCCAGACAGCTGTCACCCAAACCCTGGCTGCCTGACATGAAAAGTTTCTAGTTTTTCCTAAAGACAAAACTTCAAATACCAACAAATGCAGCAATCATGTGTAAGCATCACGACATTAGCTGTTGACGAAAGGACTTGGCATAAGTGACATCATATTAAAATATGCCACATATTGATATATTGCAGGGTACAGAAAATGTACCACAAAAGCCCTGTCTCATAAACTTAATTCTTAATAAAATCAAGAAAATAGTTGGAATTTATATGTGAATTCTCAACGGATTTAGCAGTATTCTAGCAATATCACGGCGGGGGACACCAGAAATGGGCTTCACACATTGTACCCATGTCGGGATTCGAACCCGCGTTTTCGGCGTGCTCAGATAAGAACCAGAACCAGAACCAGAACCAGGTTCATTTCTAGTGGTGGAGGCAATTTAACGCATCAGAGGCAGCAATTAATGTTCAATGCAATTACCCATTTGGACTTTAACCATATGTTCTCGCGATGTTTCTGGTGAACAATTGATTTGCCTTTGCATGTGTTTTTGAAGGGTGCGACCAGGTAGGACAGGATGTGCTCACCTTTTCCGAACACCTGGAATCATCACTATTTGATTTATTATTCATAAACAATGCTAATGATATACTCGGAATCAATAAACGGAGTTTCTTGTGATAATAGAAAGAGGTATGTCGCTCATATGAGGAAAAACACTGTATTGGCTCGAGACTTGATCCATCATGGGAAGTGATACCGCACAAAACCTGCACCGAGGCAACTGAAACGAACCACGTTTAAACTTTTTATTGGTCACTCTCAAGAAATGGGAAATGTTTTTGAAGCGAATCCAATTTGCGTTTAACACACGCGAAATGTCAAATGCATAAGCCTCAAAGATTATTTCGTTATTTCTTTACACTAAATACAAAAACGTACGCATTCGTGATATTTTGTGCATCAAGTATCGTGTTTACTCACTTAATGAGAGAATGGGTGTCGAAGATGCATAATCCGTCCATGTTCCGTTTCTACTTTTGTATGAACTGTGTCAGCAACTGCATCAAAGAATTTCTGGGTGGAAATATCAGACAAGCGACAAACCGATTATTGATCTCTGGAGCTTTTACAATACTATTTATAAATGTCGACGTTGTATCATATATGTAGACAGTATGCCTCTGTCTGACCACGTCCTGATAACACCGTGTATATGTAGACTGTACGTCTTTGTCTGACCACGTCCTGATAACACCGTGTACATTGATACAGTATGCCTCTGTCTGACCACGTCCTGATAACACCGTGTATATGTAGACAGTATGTCTCTGTCTGACCACGTCCTGATAACACCGTGTACATGAAGACAGTATGTCTCTGTCTGACCACGTCCTGATAACACCGTGTATATGTAGACTGTACGTCTCTGTCTGACCACGTTCTGATAACACCGTGTATATGTAGACAGTATGTCTCTGTCTGACCACGTCCTGATAACATCGTGTACATGTAGACAGTATGTCTCTGTCTGACCACGTCCTGATAACACCGTGTATATGTGGACAGTATGTCTCTGTCTGACCACGCCCTGATAACACAGTGTACATGTAGACAGTATGTCTCTGTCTTACCACGTCCTGATAACACCGTGTATATGTAGACAGTATGTCTCTGTCTGACCACGTCCTGATAACACCGTGTATATGTAGACAGTATGTCTCTGTCTGACCACGTCCTGATAACACCGTGTATATGTAGACTGTCCGTCTCTGTCTGACCACGTTCTGATAACACCGTGTATATGTAGACAGTATGTCTCTGTCTGACCACGTCCTGATAACACCGTGTATATGTAGACTGTACGTCTCTGTCTGACCACGTCCTGATAACACCGTGTACATGTAGACAGTATGTCTCTGTCTGACCACGTCCTGATAACACCGTGTACATGTAGACAGTATGTCTCTGTCTGACCACGTCCTGATAACACCGTGTACATGAAGACAGTATGTCTCTGTCTGACCACGTCCTGATAACACCGTGTATATGTAGACTGTACGTCTCTGTCTGACCACGTCCTGATAACACCGTGTACATGAAGAGAGTATGTCTCTGTCTGACCACGTCCTGATAACACCGTGTATATGTAGACTGTACGTCTCTGTCTGACCACGTCCTGATAACACCGTGTATATGTAGACTGTACGTCTCTGTCTGACCACGTCCTGATAACACCGTGTACATGTAGACAGTATGTCTCTGTCTGACCACGTCCTGATAACATCGTGTACATGTAGACAGTATGTCTCTGTCTGACCACGTCCTGATAACACCGTGTATATGTAGACTGTACGTCTCTGTCTGACCACGTCCTGATAACACCGTGTATATGTAGACAATATGTCTCTGTCTGACCATGTCCTGATAACACCGTGTATATGTAGACAGTATGTCTCTGTCTGACCACGTCCTGATAACACCGTGTATATGTAGACAGTATGTCTCTGTCTGACCACGTCCTGATAACACCGTGTATATGTAGACTGTACGTCTTTGTCTGACCACGTCCTGATAACACCGTGTACATTGATACAGTATGCCTCTGTCTGACCACGTCCTGATAACACCGTGTATATGTAGACAGTATGTCTCTGTCTGACCACGTCCTGATAACACCGTGTACATGAAGACAGTATGTCTCTGTCTGACCACGTCCTGATAACACCGTGTATATGTAGACTGTACGTCTCTGTCTGACCACGTTCTGATAACACCGTGTATATGTAGACAGTATGTCTCTGTCTGACCACGTCCTGATAACATCGTGTATATGTAGACAGTATGTCTCTGTCTGACCACGCCCTGATAACACAGTGTACATGTAGACAGTATGTCTCTGTCTTACCACGTCCTGAAAACACCGTGTATGTGTAGACAGTATGTCTCTGTCTGACCACGTCCTGATAACACCGTGTATATGTAGACAGTATGTCTCTGTCTGACCACGTCCTGATAACACCGTGTATATGTAGACTGTCCGTTTCTGTCTGACCACGTTCTGATAACACCGTGTATATGTAGACAGTATGTCTCTGTCTGACCACGTCCTGATAACACCGTGTATATGTAGACTGTACGTCTCTGTCTGACCACGTCCTGATAACACCGTGTACATGTAGACAGTATGTCTCTGTCTGACCACGTCCTGATAACACCGTGTACATGTAGACAGTATGTCTCTGTCTGACCACGTCCTGATAACACCGTGTACATGAAGACAGTATGTCTCTGTCTGACCACGTCCTGATAACACCGTGTATATGTAGACTGTACGTCTCTGTCTGACCACGTCCTGATAACACCGTGTACATGAAGACAGTATGTCTCTGTCTGACCACGTCCTGATAACACCGTGTATATGTAGACTGTACGTCTTTGTCTGACCACGTCCTGATAACACCGTGTACATGTAGACAGTATGTCTCTGTCTGACCACGTCCTGATAACATCGTGTACATGTAGACAGTATGTCTCTGTCTGACCACGTCCTGATAACACCGTGTATATGTAGACTGTACGTCTCTGTCTGACCACGTCCTGATAACACCGTGTATATGTAGACAGTATGTCTCTGTCTGACCACGTCCTGATAACACCGTGTATATGTAGACAGTATGTCTCTGTCTGACCACGTCCTGATAACACAGTGTATATGTAGACAGTATGTCTCTGTCTGACCACGTCCTGATAACACCGTGTATATATAGACAGTAAGTCTCTATCTGACCACGTCCTGATAACACCGTGTATATGTAGACAGTATGTCTCTGTCTGACCACGTCCTGATAACACCGTGTATATATAGACAGTAAGTCTCTATCTGACCACGTCCTGATAACACCGTGTATATGTAGACAGTATGTCTCTGTCTGACCACGTCCTGATAACACCGTGTATATGTAGACAGTATGTCTCTGTATGACCACGTCCTGATAACACCGTGTATATGTAGACAGTATGCATCTGTCTGACCACGTCCTGATAATACCGTGTATATGTAGACAGTATGCCTCTGCATGACCACGTCCTGATAACACCGTGTATATGTAGACAGCATGTCTCTGTCTGACAATGTCCTGATAACACCGTGTATATGTAGACAGTATGCCTCTGTCTAACGACGTCCTGATAACACCGTGTATATGTAGACAGTATGCCTCTGTCTAACGACGTCCTGATAACACCGTGTATATGTAGACAGTATGTCTCTGTCTGACAATGTCCTGATAACACCGTGTATATGTAGACAGTATGCCTCTGTCTAACGACGTCCTGATAACACCGTGTATATGTAGACAGTATGTCTCTGTCTGACAACGTCCTGATAACACCGTGTATATGTAGACAGTATGTCTCTGTGTGACCACGTTCCTCGCTATCCCCTCCCCTTTCCCTAGAAAAAACCCAAACCATCAGCGCCGCTAGTATCCCCTCCCATTTCCCTAGAAAAAAGCCAGCAGCGCCGCTAGTACCTCGCTATCCCCGCCCCCCTTTTCTCTAGAGAAAAAAAACAGTACCGCCGCTAGTACCTCGATATCCCCTCCCTTTTCCCTAGAAAAAGCCACAAGCGCCGCTAGTACCTCGCTATCCCCTCCCTTTTACCCTAGAAAAAAGCCACCAGCGCCGCTAGTACCTCGATATCCCCGCCCCCCTTTTCTCTAGGGAAAAAAAACAGTACCGCCGCTAGTTCCTCGATATCTCCTCCCTTCTCCCTAGAAAAAAAACCAACAGCGCCGCTAGTACCTCGCTATCCCCTCCCCTTTCCCTCTTTAAGATCACATCAGTGTCGCTAGTCCCCCGCTATCCCCTCCCCTTTCCCATCACATCAGTGTCGCTAGTACCCCACTCCCCGTCCACTCTCCCCGTCACGCATGTACCCCCGTTACCCTTTTCTCCACCGACAAGCCGCCCACCTTCTTAAAGGACCCGCATTCACCGCCACACCACTATTTGCACGACTAGCTCCCGGGGCAACAGGTTATACAAATTGTAAACCTCAGTGTCATCAGCGCTGCATGCGCAGTTTCGGGATAATGACAGCAGGGATGTGATCGCAGGTGGATGACACCACGCGGCAACACACGGGCGTCGTTCGTCAGTTGACACCATGTTGCATGGACTAGACACTTTCATGTTAACCCAGGTCAAGGTGACCTAGTTTGAATGATCGACAAGAAGGACACAAGCCCTCAGGGTACTGTTTGTAAACACGAGGCAAACAAACGTCACCTTTCACTATTGAACTACCAGCCTACCCGACATATGCCGAACTCGGGGATATATAGGGTAGGATATACACCTTCTTCAATTTAATACAATGAATCCATGGTGCAGCAAAGAATAGGTCACTAATCGTTTAGTGTATTTTCATTGACCGTTAACAGTGTATTATGCATGTTCATATGGTAGGCATATCGTGCCTCGTAATTTGGAAGTTTAGTTGAGCAATACATGACTCGCAACCGGTTTAGCCGGTGTATTATATTACAAGCATAACGACAGCTCGTATATTTCGCGATAGGGCAATTTCTTTAAAACGTTGAGTGTCATATAATTTACTCCCATTACATTAAGCCATACGTTGATGGGCCAACACGGAAGACTGATCACCAGAGGATCCGGTTGCTTGGGTAAATACTAGTACTCGTACAGTTTTGTATATTTATAGGAAATACCGTTTATCCGATGGTACTAATCCCACTGATTCACCGGATTAACATATTTCCGGATTAACGAAATATAGCTCAGCCCTTTGTGTGTCTTTATGCCTGAATCAGTCGACATATAGAGGTAGTTTCATCTTATACTTACCTTGGAATATTGTTTACTAGGACTTTGAGTTGGAATAAATATCTAGAATCTACATCTGTTAAAGCTAAGAAAGTGTTGATGTCAATCCTACAAAGCTTGTTAAAATATGATAATCTGTCCTGTAATTTATATTTTCAAATTTTTGATACAAAGATAATGCCAATTTTACTTTATGGATCAGAAAAAGGGGTTAAAGAAAATATGAGTGTATAGAAAAAGTTCATCTTTATGCGTGTAAACGTGTAATTGGGGTTCGACCCTCCACCCCAAATGATATTGTACTTGGGGAATGTGGCAGGTATCCATTGTATATATTTTCGCTTAAGCGCTGTATAACATTTTGGTTAAAACTAACGACTCCTCCATCCACGCGATACCCAGTAAAAGCCTATAACATGATGTTCTATCTGGATCAAAATGCCAGTCACTCACGCAATAAAAATAGTTGGGCAACAAATATCAAAATCACCCTTTTCAGTTTAGGCCTTGGATACAATGGATGGATCAGGGTGTTGGAAATGTCAAGATGTTTATGTCATTATTACTCCAAAGAGCTAAAGATAGTTTTCAGCAAATGTGGATAGAAAAACTAAGAAATAGCAAATGTACATATACGTATTCTCTCTTCAAACAACAATTTATACTCGAAGAATATCTAATATCTGTTACAATAAAAAAAAAATCGAGTATTGCTAGCTCAGTTCAGAGCAGGATATTATGATTTAAAGATCTATAAAGGTATATTTAAAAAGTCTAACACTATCTGTACATCTTGTAACCTTAATGTTGTAGAACATGAGTATCATTTTCTGCTTGTGTGTAAAGTCCATCGTCAATTAAGAAACAAGTATATTCCAAAGAAGTTTATAACTTACCCAAATATTAATCTGTTTTGCATACTCATGTCAACTTCAAATATTACTTTATTACAAAATATTGCATTGTACACACATCGTGCATTGTTAGTTAGAAGAAACACCCATACCTTGTAAATACGTTGAACTATGGGCCTATGGCCTTTCAGTTTGCAATGAATAACACAATTTGACAGTCGAATGTTTTCAACACGAGTTAGATGATCTTTCAGAGTTTTCAAAAGAGTAGAAGTAGAAAAGACTTAAATTATAATGTTTGGAAAGGGGGTACGATAAGTAATATGAAAAAAATATAATTATAATATAAATAAAATAATAAATTATTATAATAAAAGATTTACTTGTGTTAAAAAAACAGTTGGCGGATCAGGGTAGGGAAGCATTATTTTGTGTCTGTCGCAATAGTAATTCTTAACCATATAATCATTATTTGACTGTTATATCGGCAGTATACTTTGATACTTTGATATGTTAAAAGGATAGTAATATTGAAAAAGTACATCTTGATTATAATGAAAATATACTTGGATTAAAAAGGTTTACATGTTTTGATCGGACGTGTTCCGAACTTGGCGATGTCCTTTAATATATATCAGAATGTTTAATATGGTTAAATGTTGGTGTATTATCGATAATTGTATACTAAAAACTTGTTTTGAATTTGTTAATATGAAAGCTAGATATGAAAATGTTTGCAAATAGGAACAAGATGTAAGAAGATATTATTAAACAGTATTGGTTACAATGATATTTGCTTGAAGCAAGAGTTTCATTAAACGTTTTTTGCCTGTTATTAAGCACCGAATATTTGACGAAGGTATTCAGACACGATCTCATATATCAACTTCAAACTGTGTTTTGTACAGACAACCTTTATGATCATCATTTCTTAATTATGGTTTAGGAAATCAATTTCCTTTTTTTCTTAGATAATATTTGACTAAATTCAGACCATCTTCACTTATGTTAGCAATAGAAACTGGAAGATGTAAAGGTTTAAATATTACTGAACAGAAAATGTTTGTATTGATGTTAAAGGTGAGTTTTATTTTGGACACTCATGTCCATTACATTTAGAATTTAGAGTGAGTGAGTGAGTTTGGCTTAAGCCGCTTTTAACAGTATTCCAGTTATATCACGGCGTGTCAGCTTAATGTGGGAGGAAAGTCCGAAGTGATGAAGGTCTAAGACGTTTACCAGTTCGGTGAAACCCACGAGCACGGGTATGGTGCTGACAAACCTAGAAACATAATCGGGGCGAACCGGGATTCGAACCCACAATCATAGGTTTCTGGCGTGCCCAAGGGACACAACTCTGCACAGCGAATCGCGGCGCTTTAGACGACTGGGCCACCCGTGCCCCCCTTTAGAATTTAGAAAGAAATATACAAGACCACTTTATTGAAAATAAACCATCTGTATTCAAACTTATTTAATTACTAATATTACAGAATGTAAAACAGTTATGTAATTTAGGAAAGTTTCTGTATCATTCAAGTTTTGATGTGAGTTAAGTAAGTACATGTATGTGTATTCTCCATTTGACATATGCCTGTTTATTACCATATACATGTACAGTAAACTACGGTTATAACGAACTCAAAGGGACCACTAATTTTAGTTCGTTATAACCGTAGTTCGTTATAAGCATATATACAGCATTACTACAGCAAATTTTAGGGACCTAAAAGTTAGTTCGTTATATCCGTCAGTTCGTTATAAGCGTGTTCGTTATAACCGTAGTTTACTGTACCCTTCACAACTTGTCTGTATGAGGGAGAGGGGCGATGGGGTAGCCTAGTGGTTAAAGCGTTCGCTCGTCACGCCGAAGACCCGGGTTCGATTCCCTACATGGGTACAATGTGTAAAGCCCATATCTGGCGTCCCCCGCCGTGACATTGCTGTATTATTGCTAAACGCGGCGTAAAACTATACTCACACTTTGTACCCATGTCGGGAATCGAACCCGGGTCTTCGGCGTGACGCGCGAACACTTAACCACTAGGCTACCCGACCGCCCCTCGAACTAACGAGGTTTCGCTATATGATGAATAGTTTTTAGGATTGGTTTGGTAATAGGGCGTGTGGTATTCTGGCGGTGTGACGTGTAAACATTAATGATTGATGACTAAGGCGAATATGTTTCGTTCTGGGCTACTGATTTGAGTTATGTGGATTGCGGTATTCCGAGAACATTTGAGTTTGATGTTCGTAATTTGCATTTAGATTCTATCAACATTCTGACCAGTCCCTATGTGTAGTTGTCATTATGTAGACTAACCCCAGTAAACCGTCCACGTGTAGATAACTGAGGTTATGAAAGCAGTGGTTAAGAAGTGGGATGTCCTGACGAAATACAGTTTACTGTAAACGAGAAATTAGACGACAATCAGGTAGATATTGATTGCTTTATTTTCAAAGTTTTACAATACGAATAAGAGTGTGTGGGTATATTATGTTGTTAATATACTCAGATGTCACAAAATACCACGTCTGTTGGTCCCAAACCTGGTGAGAGTAAGTGAGTGAGTGAGTTGTGTTCAACGCCGCTTTTAACAGTATTCCAGTTATATCACGGTGTGTCAGCTTAATGTGGGAGGAAAGCCCGAAGTGATGCAGGTCTCAGACGTTTACCATTTCGGTGAAACCCACGAGCACGGGTAGGATGCTGACAAACCTAGAAACATAATCGGGGCGAACCGGGGTTCGAACCCACGATTATAGGTTTCTGGCGTGCCCAAGGGACGCAACTCTGCACAGCGAATGAGGGGAGTGGAATTGGGGTTTGACGTCGCGGCAAAGAATATTGCACTTATAGAGCGAAGAGATTTCAAAACAAGTAATCATTAAGTTGATACAACGATTCAGTGTACTGTGTCTGAGTGGGGCATTCATGTTAAACAGCGGCATGGTATCTCAGTGAGCCAGCACTATAAAACCGGTATAAGTCCGGACGCACGCACACGCGCACACACACACGCACACGCACGCACGCACGCACGAACGCCCGCACGCACACGTTTAACTCCATTTCACCTCTCCTTACATTACAGCGTTGAAATGATGAGATTACTTAGTTAATCGGGAAAGTTGCTAATCCAGCAAAACTCGTAATCCGGACGATTTCGCCAGGAACGGTCCGGTCCGGTTAGCCAGGGTTTCGCTATATAAAAGATGCAGATATAGTTTGTCTTGTCACGATCCCACACACTTTGTCCTATTAATATCACATTGCTTATCGCGATCAACTTGGGTAGGGGTTTAACGTCGCGTCCAAGATTATTCCCCACTCAGACACTCAGACACAGTATACCGACTCCGAGCCGACCAGTCCTTGTTTGAGCCCCTTAATGCCGAGCGCCAGAAAGGGTAACAACAAGTACCATCTTTTAATGTCTTTTGGTATGACGCGGGCGGGGATCGAACCCCGGACCTTCCGCTCTCCGGACGGACGCTCTACCACTAGACCATAGAGGCGGTCGTGATGTACTGAGTGTTAGAATCAGCAGACTAGGCGACAGATGGTAACACACATGAAGTCGATACCGACTAATCGAACGCACGGTCAATTTCAAATATGTGTGGACGTATGGCATCAGATATACCACACTGAAACCCGGAGAGTGGTGTGATGTAGCGGGCTTGTCACGTTGATGGCGGAAGTACAAGTGTCACATCCTTCTGTTTCCGCCATCACGACCAAAGTACAACATGAGGTCAGCTGTATATTCGACAGTGAATTGGAGCATGACAGACGTTCATGTGGCCTCCAAACTCGTACAGCTTCTTAAGTCAGACGTGTTCGACACACGGGATGAAAACGTGTTTGGCATACGGGATTTAAACTGTTCGACACATGGGATCTAATACGTTCGACACACGGGACTGAAGTGTTGGACTGATTGGATGTAATGTCGGTATAAGGAGACAGGGGGTACGTTACTTCACGGATAGTGTTGACACTACCTGTTCCTAGTTGCTGCGTTGTGTTGACACCAACAGGGAAGTTTGTTGTAGCTTGTTGTGTCGTATCGTGTTGTGTCGTGTTTTGTCGTGTTGTGTCGTGGTGTATGTTGTGTTTCTGGATTCGTTGGGTCGAAGAAACGTACTAATCGCTCGGTTGTGTTGACACCAGCATGGAAGTATGTTGTATCGTGTTGTGTTGTGTCGTGATCATCATCATCATCATCATCATCATCATCATCATCACTCTACCCTCCTCCTCTTCCTCCTCCTCCTCCTCCTCACCATCATCATCACCACCACCATTCAATCATCACCACTCCATCATCACTACTTTGTCATCACTACACTACTCCACTCTACCCTCCTCCTCCTCATCCTCCTCAACATAATCATCATCATCTTCATCATCATCATCATCATCATCATCATCATCATCACCATTCTATCATCATCACACCACTCTCCTCATCCTCCTCGCCATCACCATCATCATCATCATCATCATCTTCATCATCACCACTACTACGTCATCACCACTCCATCCTCCTCATCATCATCAAAAGATCATATTGATATATCTTAAATTTGCCCTGTTATCAAATGCTGCTCGTAGATTTGATTACAAGGCTACACTCGATACCATTTTCCTGTTGATCATAATAATTCATTATCGTATTTTATATAAGTTGCATACTTTTCAGGAATTTGGAAGATGACGTTCAATGTTCTCATCGTCGTCGTTCTGTTCTCGGCGACCTCATGCAAAGGACACACGTTACACTACGAGCAGCAGAGTGCTCAGTGCTATAACGGGGTGAGTAATACCTCAATAATACGCGCATTGTTATTTCCTCTTTCTCCGGGGTTCTGTTTCACACGGTGCTAATAACGCTTCGACTTTAGAGCAGTGTTCAGACCTCATCATTGATGTGGGTTTAGTCTTATATCATATCAATCAGGTCCGTCTGTCACCCAACTGGTTATAATGCTATTTCGTCTAATGTACAAAAGTTATTATCAAGTTTACTGTCATATAAATCTGTGTCACAGAAAGCTTTGATGAACAGGGTCTAGCTTCGTTCTAGTTCTCTAGTGGTACAACTGGCCCATACACATCTTCACTAGGCAAGGGAGTTAACTGACTACTATAAAAGTCCAGTTTCCACCCTTGCCGAACTAGGCTGAAGATTTCTAGGCTCGATCGTAACGCCACCAGTGGCTATTAATAGTTACGCCCCTTCCATGTCCCTTCTAGTGACCAATCAGATTCCACCTCTCATATCACTTACATAATTTGCTTCAAACAAAATGGCGGCGCCCAGTCAAGACGATCTGATCGATAATCAAGATCTATATTGTGAAATAAGGGGTCTTACTTCACGATGTGCATCAAATCACGTGATCACCTTGATATCAAACAAGAAAAGATTTGGAAAATATCTGTTGACGCCAAGTTGACGGTGCATATAATTTGCAAATCCTGAAATCGACCGAACTCTGCACGGCATGTCGATTTTGTTACGCGATTTTGATTGGACTCGTTAGTCCAGCCAAACTATGACTCCAACAATCCAGACTAGTTCGGCAAGGGTTGGAACTTGACTTCTATAGTCAGTTGACTCCCTTGCCTCGGAAAGATAGCCCTTATAATGTTACAGACTCAGAAAACACTTGAAGTTACTGTCGTTCTGTAGAAAATACATCAACATAAATGTTTTGAGCATTTTATTGAGCACGCATCTGCATTTTGTAATTATAATTGTATATGCCATTTCGGAATGAGGTTCTTGTCTATAAATTTCAACTTCCGCGTTGGTGCAGCTGTCAAAGCAGCTGTTTCAATCAGAGATGGTTATTGTGATTTGGTGTCCAATGACATTTATGGTAACATGTATCGTGAATACAGTAATAACCAGATGATTCAAAGACAAACCTCAAGTCTTTCTATTCGCAGACTACCGGGTACCCCTTGCCGGTATATGGCAGTGTGGAGGAGGGCGAGCGGAGCGGACTGCAGATAGCAGAGGCTCTGTACGGCACGGAGATTAAGGAACTCGCCATTGGTCGTCCTCAGATGGATCAGGTAGGCTATTATACCACTGTGGTATGTTTAGTGTGTGAGCGGTGGTGTTGGTGGAGGTGGAGTGGGAAGGGGGTGGCGGTGCTAGGCTGTACTACTGAAGTCATTCTTCGTTCCACTACGGGACGTGTGGTGTGAGAGGGGTGAGGGTAGGAACGGAGGTGGGGTGGTAGGCGATATCTCAAGAACCAGAGCCATTGCACCAACCCCCATGGGCCTTTCAGTGTGTGAGGGGTGAGGGTAGGAGAGAATGAGTGAGTATGGTTTTACGTCGCTTTTAGCAATATTCCAGCAATATCACGGCGGGGGACACCATAAATGGGCGTCACACATTGTACCCATGTCGGGAATCGAACCCGGATCTTCGGCGTGACAAGCGAACGCAGTAACCACTAAAGCCATTACACCACTGTGGAACGTTTAGTGTGTGTGTGTGTGGGGGGGGGGGGGGGGGGGGGGGGGTAGGGACGGGGGTGGGTGATAGGCTGTGTCATTGAAGCTATTACACCAGCATGGGCCGTCAGATGTGTGAGGGGTGAGGGTAGGAACGGGGGTGGGTGATAGGTTGTGTCATTAAAGCTATTACACCAGCATGGGCCGTTAGATGTGTGAGGGGTGAGGGTAGGGACGGGGGTGGGTGATAGGCTGTGTCATTAAAGCTATTACACCAGCATGGGCCGTTAGATGTGTGAGGGGTGAGGGTAGGGACGGGGGTGGGTGATAGGCTGTGCCACTAAAGCTGTTACACCAGCATGGGCCGTTAGATGTGTGAGGGGTGAGGGTAGGAATGGAGGTGGGGTGATAGGCTGTGTCATTGAAGCTATTACACCAGCATGGGCCGTTAGATGTGTGAGGGGTGAGGGTAGGGACGGGGGTGGGTGATAGGCTGTGTCATTGAAGATATTACACCAGCATGGGCCGTAAGATGTGTGAGGGGTGAGGGTAGGAACTGAGGTGGGGTGGTGGGCCGAGTGGTGGGGTTGTTTGTGAATGTGGTAGGCTGTGTACCCCAGTGTAAAACATGACACCACGGAAGGCCCGCTTAGTATCCAAAACGTGGGGGGTGAGTCAGGGAGTATGGTTTTACGCCGCTTTTAGCAATATTCCCTCAATATCGCGGCGGGGGACACCAGAAATGGGCTTCACACATTGTACCCATGTCGGGAATCGAACCCGGGTCTTTGGCGTGACGAGTGAACGCTTTAACCACTAGGCTACCCGACCACCCCTCGAGACGTGGGACCAAGGGATCAAGGTGACAGGCACACGTACGCTCTGTGTAGGGGCTTAGGGTGGGGGCGAGGTGATGGTGAAGGTGGGGGTAGGCTGCAGGTAGGGGTGGGGAGATTGTAGAGGGGGTTGGATGATAGAGGTAATAGGAGGATAGTGAAAAGGGGACAATGGACTTTTAGGAGAGTGTATGAATACCCGAACGGGTGCACGGATGCATGTACTTTAATGGTTGCATTATCAATGGGCCGTTGAGTAGGACAAACCTGTACGTGTGAATGGTTGGTTTCATGCTGGGTTTGTTTTCGTTTAATACCTGGTTACATAATTTTACCTGATCATAAAGCCTCACGTGATGCCCTACGGATAATCACCTGGGTTGATGTCGCACAGTCAGCTGGCAGCTGTTCGATGACACCGAGGGCGTGTGAATTCTCTGTTGATAAGCACAGTTTGTATAACTTCATATTTTTGTCATGGATTCTGATGATATACACCTTGTGAACATGAACGCAGATCCTGGAGCACAAGCGTGACGAGAGGGAGAAGAGGCGACACAAGAGAGCTATCACGTCTCAGAAGTGGCTGTACTGGGAGGGCGCCTATCTCCCCTACAGGTTCGACGCCGATGTGCGTAAGTCATTTAATAATCATTAAACAACAACAACAACAACAGCAACAACAACTATATTAATAAGAAAGCTAACCAGCCTGACTGTGCCAGAGAGAGAGGGAGAGAGAGAGAGAGAGAGAGAGAGAGAGAGAGAGAGAGAGAGAGAGAGAGAGAGAGAGAGAGAGAGAGACCAGTCGGTTGGGAATATCTCCCCAACAGTAATACAGAGAGAGAGAGAGAGAGAGAGAGAGAGAGAGAGAGAGAGAGAGAGAAAGAGAGAGAGAGACCAGTCGGTTGGGAATATCTCCCCAACACTTATACTGTGCCAGAGAGAGAGAGAGAGAGAGAGAGAGAGAGAGAGAGAGAGAGAGAGAGAGAGAGAGAGAGAGATGGGTTTAAAGTATGTCATATCTATCTTATAGGTTTTACTTTTCAAGAATCCCATCTCTTTTAGACAAGAACTATTAATCTCTGTCAATGACGTCATTGCCAACTATCAAGTAACGGCGTAGACATTAAGTGTTTTGACATTAACCCTCAAAACGGGATTTCCTCGTACTTCAAAGGACAAGTATTTATTTGGCAATTTGGTTTTGGGAATCAAAATATTTTTTCTGTGCGTGTAAGGCACATTTAGTCACTTTTTTTCAGCACCTGATGAGGAACACGAGACACGAACAGCCATGAAACGTCACGAGCGGTTCACGTGCGTGCGCTTTGTACCCTGGGTGGAGAACGTGACGCGATATGAGTATAATCTCTCGAGTGAAAGCCACGTGCGCTTGATCAAGAAACAAGGGTAGGTCCCCATAGATCTATGTACATTTTTCCGAGGCAAATGCGTTAGCTGACTTTGAAAGTCCAGTAAACTGGGTTTTTATAGTCAGGTAACGCCCTTGCCTCGGGAAGATGATATGTGTATCCACACGTTCAATTCATAAAGTGTTGACACAGAAAAGTAATCCCTTTCACAAAATAATTGGGGTAACCTGCACCGACAGGTTTCGTTTGTTTGCACTCCAGAGTCATTTCAACATTTCAATGGGTGCCTTTTGTTATGAGGAAGTCTAGTTTATTATCAGATGGTCAACAGTGCCTGATTTTCGGATAAGTGGACATTCTGGAAAATTCCATCATAGTTTTACGAGGTACATATTACAACATATGCCAGACAAACCATAAGACTAGGCAGACAAAACCATAAGACTAGGCAGTCAAAACCATGAGACAAGGCAGACAAAACCATAAGACTAGGCAGACAAAACCGTAAGACTAGGCAGACAAAACCATGAGACTAGGCAGACAAAACCATGAGACTAGGCAGACAAAACCATGAGACTAGGCAGACAAAACCATAAGACTAGGCAGACAAAACCATAAGACTAGGCAGACAAAACCATAAGACTAGGCAGACAAAACCATAAGACTAGGCAGACAAAACCATAAGACTAGGAATGACAGCAGATCCTGGCACAATATATTGACGCAATGCCACACTGCAGTTTTTACAATGAAATACTAAAAATCGAGTGTTATTTAACTTCTTGGCGAGTCAAAAGTCGGTCGGGTAGCCTAGTGGTTAAAGCGTTCGTTAGTCAAACCCCCAAATCGGTTTCGATTTCCCACATGGGTACAATGTGTGAAGCCCATTTCTGGTGTCCTCCGCCGATATATAGCTTGAAAATTGCTTAAAGCGGCGTAAAACCCAACTCACTCACTTACTCACTTTAAACGATGTTAGGAATGTTAGTATTAGATAGAGTGTCACCTGTGATGAAGGGTTTAGATGAAGTATGTTGCGATGATGCTTGTACTGTTTTTGCAGGTGTTGGTCGCTACTGGGTAACGTCCACAACCCTAATGGCCAAAGACTAAGCTGCTGCAGCCGGGTACGTATTGGAGTGGTTCGATGTACGTACCATACGTATCAGATTTGGTCATTCGTATCAGAGTGCCGATGTGTACGTAAGAGGTTCGATGTACGTCTCATACGTATCAGAGTGGTTCGATGTACGTACCACACGTATCAGATTGGATCTTTCCTATCGTCGTACCAGAGTGAGTGAGTGAGTTGGGTTTGACGCCGCTTTTAACAGTAATCCAGTTATATCACGGCGTGTCAGCTTAATGTGGGACGAAAGCCCGAAGTGATGCAGGTCCCAGACGTTTACCACTTCAGTGAAACCCACGAGCACGGTTGGTGCTGACAAACCTAGAAACATAATTCGTATGCGAGTGCCGCAGTGTACGTAATACTATGGGGCATCTTGCGCGTATCAGTGTTCTGCGGTGTACGTAACATACGCACAACAGTTCTACGGTATACTTATCAAGATAAACTTTATACGTATCAGCATCAAACTGTGTTAGAATCGCACATGTAATGCACGTTTAAGAGTGGTGCTGTGTACGTATCATACGTATGAAGGTTCTACTGTGTACATATCTTTCAGAGTTTCTGTCAGAGATTATAGTGAGTGAGTTGGGTTTAACGCCGCTTTTAACATTATGCCAGTAATAGCACGGCCTGTCAGCTTAATGTGGGAGTTAAGCCCAAAGTGATGCAGGTCTCAAACGTTTTCCACTTCGGTGAAACCAACGAGCACGGGTATGGTGCTGACAAACCTAGAAACATAGTCGGGGCGAACCGGGATTCCAACCCACAATCATAGGTTTCTGGCGTGCCCAAGGGACACAACTCTGCACAGCGAATCACAGCGCCTTAGACGAGTGGGCCACCCGTGCCACCTGAAGACTCAACTTGAAACCTGGACTTTACTAAACATTTACAAGTGTTATCAAAACGTTATCAGGTGAAAACAGTCGCCAAAACACTGCAGGCTCAAACCACTACACGTATACCCGCATAAAACCATTGCTTGTTGGTTTCCTTTTGTGTATGATTGTGTCAACATGGCATTTCGTGAACGTATTTGACAGTATTTTTATTTTTTTTAAATCAAAAGCTTTCCCTTAGTTTTTTGCACGTGGACAGTTACATTTCTTTCTCCAGGGTGCGTGTGTCCATGAGCTGTCCCACGCCTTTGGTGTGTTCCACGACCACGTCAGTCCTGCGAGACACGGCTTCATCAGAATCAACTGGAATAACATTAAGCTAGGTAAGTCGGGGGATGAAGAAATATTCAGGGGTAAGGGGGTGGTGGGGTGGGGGGGTGGGGGGTGGATGAAGAAATAAATACCCAACCGTGTATACTTAGCAATACCCCACGTATATGACGGCGGTCTGCGCAAGACTGTCTACCTCAAACTCGATGGTCCCAATAACTCGAGTGAGTGAGGATGGTTTTACGCCGCTTTTAGCAATATTCCAACAATGTCACGGCGGGGGACACCTGAAATTGGCTTCACACATTGTACCCATGTTGGGAATCGAACCCGGGTCCTCGGCGTGACGAGCGAACGCTTTAACCACTAGGCTACCCCACCGAAGTCGTTAGGATCATCATCAACTTATGAAATCTACCGGAATTCGAGATAAGCAGAGTGCTGATATGTAACATGAAACATTTTATGTATGAAATATATCACGTAGCAATATGTATGGTAAGGTTATTCTCTTTTTCTTCATTATATGGAATCCTGGAGTTGTCGCTTTGTCGTATTGTCGCCCTTTGAAAAAATAAGAAAGAATATTGAAAGCGCGAAAATGCGACAATTGGACTATGGACCAAAATGTCGCGTTCTGGCATCGCAGCATTGTGTCGCTTTAGTTAATTTTGACGACAATGCGACAACGCGACAATGTCCCTTCTAGAATTCCATAGTATGACAGACAGAACATCGATTTTTCGGAAAAATAAATTTGCCAGACAAAACCAGCAAATCTACAAATCTTGTCTGAAGTTATATATTCCGTGTTATCAGAGTTCGAGTTATCGTGGTGGCCATGTATTTGGTAAACGCCGATAAAGGTATAATGAGCATGACTTAAGCACTACAGTGAGTGAGTGAGTTGGGTTTAACGCCGCTTTGAACAGTATTCCAGTAATATCACGCCGTGTCAGCTTACCGTTGGAAGAAAGGCAGAAGTGATGCAGGTCTCAGACGTTTACCACTTCGGTGAAACCCAGGAGCAGAGTATGGTGCTGATAAACCTAGAAATACAACGAACCGGTATTCGAACCCACGATCAAAGGTTTCTTACCGAGACACGCAACTAGGTACAGCGATTTAGACCACTCGGACAATAAACGCCGAGAATGACACGTGAGCTGTCTTGTTTCAGATAACTGGGCGATCTTCATGGAAGAATACCAAGAAACAACCATGTTCTTCCGGTTTGACCTGACCAGCATCATGCACTATGCTCTCGGCGTAAGTATCTAGTCGACTGTATCTAGGCGGTACACTGAACACGAATGTACAAATCTACTCGTTTTTCTGGACTCGATTGTAAATATACTCTTAAAAAAAAGAAACGCAAAGCCAGATTTGTGTGAGGTAGGACAATACATTTATACGAGGAACCGTACAAGGTATTGAGCCAAATTGTTGTGGAGAGAACACTTGGTGATTCTAGTCATCTCAGTTATCGGTACATAGGAAAAGTCCAAGGTGAAGGTCAGCTACCATCAATAACGCGTATGTCCTCCGTTGGAATCGAAAGCGGCCTTACACCTCCTTCCAATGGAAGAGACGAGTAGGCGAATCACATCCTAGGGAATGTAGCCCACTCGGCCTGTAACGAAAAAGCCAACTGCTGCAACGTCTTGGGTTGTGGTTGACGTCGGAGTAGCCGTCTATCCAATTCATCCCACAGGTGCTCTATCGGGTTCAAATCCGGTGATCTGGAGGGCAAGGGGAGAACATCAACGTTGTTGTTGTGTAGACAGGCTCTTGTGATCCGTGATGTATGCGGTCGAGCGTTGTCATGCCTAAATACACCGTTGCCATTGGCTGCACTTAGGGGAACGTGTGGTAGAAGCCGTAAGATTGACCTGGATATAACGCTCCCCCCATCAAACCTGTCCACTTCCTGTACGCAGTTTGCGGCGTAACGTTCTCCCAGACGTCTGTAGACCCGGGCTCTTCCATCCCCTCGACGGAGGAGAAATCTAAATTCGTCGCTGAACCAGACCTCTCTCCTTCGCAGTTGAGGCCATACCCTGTGTTGACGACACTAGTGCAGTCGTTGTTGACGATGTTGTCGAGTCAATGTGACGTGTCGAACAGGACGTCTTGCTCATAGACCTGCTGCTCTTAAACGGTTTCGTACGGTCTGGTCGGAGATTCTGCGCAGTCCGGGTATTTGGGATGCGGTTGAGGTGGCTGTGGTCGAATGTAGCGACCTTGGGCGGGTGTGGCTACTTTTGGTCGTCCCCACCTTGGCCGATCACGTGTTGACCCATGCTGTTGAAACCGATCCCATAACCTTGTGATGGTGCTGGGGGGCTACATTGAGAACCCTGGCTACAGCTGATCGGGATTCCCCTGCCTGCAAGCGGCCGATGACGTTGTTTCTTTGCACTTCTGTTTATCTTGGCATGTTGTTGAACTGTCACTGTTCGATTGACGCAGATGCCAGGCAATCAAAAACCCTGCTCTTTAATACCGTTCATAGTGCTGATGCACGTGAAGTACGTGCAGCACCATGGCCCTTTAGTTAATGCACTGGCTGCGTTTTTTTCGAATCTAACGTGTTTCCCGACTAATGGTATGCATGTCCTTGATGTGATCATTTTGATCCGGGAAATTTGTCACTGACACTATAACACATTAAACCTCTTCATTTTGCACCTCTTGGTCCGCTAATTTTGCTTTTATGGCCAAAAGTATCCGTATTGCGTTTCTGTTTTGGAAGAGTATATCTTGGAAAAATTCATCTTCCCGAGGCACTGACTGTACACTCCAAGTTTCAACCCTTACCGAACTCTGTTGGAATTTCCAGGCTCGAACGTAGAACTTCCAGTGGAGTTTTTTTTCCTTCAATGACCTATTGACCAGTCAGATTCCACCTCTCATATCACTTGCATTTGCTTCAAACAAAATGGCGGCGCCTAGTCAAGACGATCTGATCGATAATCAAGATCTATATTTTGAGAAAACTTCAAATCACGTGAGCACCTTTATTTAAACATGAAAAGATTTGGAAAATATCTGTTGACGCCGATACACATGTTTTTTTGCGAAACCTGCAATCGACCGAAATCTGCACGGCAGTTTACGAACCGGATGTCACTTTCGTTGTGACATTTTGATTGGACTATGCATAGACAGTCAAAACATAACTCCATAATTCCAGCCTAGTTCGGCAAGGGTGGAAAGTGGACTTTTATAGTCAGTTCCCTTGCCTCGGGAAGATGGGAAAAGTAATGCACCCGGATGCTAGTATCAACGCAGCATTATTCACGCATGTATCGGCGGTAGCCGGTACGAGTATGTAAGTATAAACCGTATTTGAACGTTTTGGGCGTTTACCTTATGTATACGTAAGACCACCCAGTGAAGCACTGCCCACCGTAAATCCAAATGCAAGTCTTTTCAATAACAAAGTATGCATCAATCGAGGTGATGAGGTGAAATGGGGTTTAACGTCGCGTCCAAGATTATTGCACTTATATAGCGACGTGCATGTACGTGTGTGTGTGTGTGTGTGGCTGCTTGTTCTAGTCCTGACTGATGCCGATTTATAGTGCTAGCTCACCGAGATACCATGCCGCAGTTTAACATGAATACCCCACTCAGACACAGTATACTGACTCCGAGCCGACCAGTCCTTGTTTTAGCCCCTTAATGCCGAGCGCCAGACAGGGTAACAACAAGTACCATCTTTTAACGTCTTTTGGTATGACGCGGTCGGGGATCGAACCCCGGACCTTCCGCTCCCCGGGCGGACTCTCTACCACTAGACCACGGAGGCGGTCCATCAATCGAAGCATTCTGATGGGCGATACTGAAGGCTTGTGTGTATTTGTCAGGCGAGCATTCACCTTTCATATATAACGCTTACATATATAAACACATTTATTTCCTCATAGCGATGTCCTGTTTTCCAGGGATTTAAACAAGGGCCGTGGCCCTCAATGACCGTGCTGTTCAAGGACCTGGAGTCGCTTACGAACATGCGGAATAATGTCTTCTACAACTGGCAGGAGATATCCGTCACCAATCAGTGTAAAGGTACATACCTACTCCTGTCCTGTATCGTGGGGGTGTCCCTTCAGCAAAGGGTTCAGACTAGGTCGAGAACTAATGGAAAGTTACATACTTCACTCATGACCTGTATAGGCGGGTGTCCTGTTAGCAAAGTGTTCTGTCAAGGTCGGGAACCAGTGTAAAGGTACATACCTACTCCTGTCCTGTATCGTGGGGTGTCCCTTCAGCAAAGGGTTCAGACTAGGTCGAGAACTAATGGAAAGTTACATACTTCACTCATGTCCTGTATACGCAGGTGCCCTGTTAACAAAGTGTTCCGTCAAGGTCGAGAACATATGTCAAGGTACATACTTCACTCCTGTCCTGTATACGCAGGTGCCCTGTTAACAAAGTGTTCCGTCAAGGTCGAGAACAAGTGTTAAGGTACATACTTCACTCCTGTCCTGTATACGCGGGTGTCCTGTAAACAAAGTGTTCCGTCAAGGTCGAGAACATATGTCAAGGTACATTCTTCACCCCTGTCCTGTATTTGCAGGTGTCCTGTAAACAAAGTGTTCCGTCTAGGTCGAGAACATATGTCAAGGTACATACTTCACCCCTGTCCTGTATTCGCAGGTGCCCTGTTAACAAAGTGTTCCGTCAAGGTCGAGAACAACTGTTAAGGTACAAGTGTACTAAGTGTTGAGTGTTAAGTGTACTCTCCTGGTTAGTATATCGGGGAGTCTGTATATGCCCTGTGCTTGTACTTCGGTTTGCAAATACTGGTAAGGTGAGGTGAAACGGGGTTTAACGTCGCGTTCAAGATTATTGCACTTAGCGACGTGCATGCACGTGTGTGTGTGTCTACTTGTACTAATGCCGATTTTAGAACGCTAGCCCACTGAGATACCATGCAGCAGATTAACATAAATACCCAACTCAGACAGTATACTGACTCCGAGCCGACCACTCCTTGTTTTAGCCCCTTAGTGCCGAAGGTCAGACAGGGTAACACCATCTTTTAACGTCATTTTGTATGACGCTGCCGGTTATCGAGCCCGCGACCTTCCGCTCTCCAGGCAGACGCTCTATCCACTACACCACGGAGGCGATGTTGCAAATACTGAAAGTCCAATGGTTGTCCCCCGATAAATGTAATTGTCACAGATAAAATTAAAATCACCGAAAAAACGTTTATATTGTTTGGTACCCTCCGTCGGCTTGTCAGTTGGGTAGAATAGGTCTTCAGCAACCAAATGCTTGTCGTAAAAGGCGACTATACTTGTCGTTAGAGGCGACTAACGGGATCGGGTGGTCATGCTCGCTGACATGGTTGATGCATGTCATCGTATCTCGAATGCTTATGATGTCAATCACTGGATTGTCAGGTCCAGACTCGATTATTCACAGACAGCCGTCATTTAGTTGGAATACAGCTGGAGTGTGGCGTTAAACAACAAATAAACAAACAATCATTTGGGAGCGTACAGACGTTCGATCTCCCTGGATTCGATCCCCACACAGATATAATGTTTGAAGCTTATTTTCGATGAACTCGCCTTGATTTTGCTGAAACATTGCTGAAACCGCGTAAAAAATACCATCTCATTCTGTTTTGCAGCCCGGATGTGTCCTGACTTCGCCATTGAGTGTGTCAACGACGGCTTTGTGTCCTACGTAGAGGGGGCGTGCCAATGCCTGTGTCCCCCCGGGCTCGACCCCCAGACTGGCTGTGGGACTGTCATCAAGTCTGGTACTTCATCCCAAGTTGTCAAATTCAGCTTATAGAACCCACGAACAGGCTAATCCATCAGTAATAATCGGGGAGACCCGTGAAGATCCGGGCTAGAATTGATCTACACCAACCCATGCTTGTCGCAAGAGGCGACTAACGGGATCGGGTGGTCGGGCTCGCTGACTTTTTTTATGCATGTCAGCGTATCCGAGTTGTGTGGATCGATGCTCATGATGTCAATCACTGGAAAGTCTGGTCCAGACTCGATTATTAATAGAACGCCGTCATATGGTTTGAATAGTGCGGCGGTAAACAACAAACAAACAAACAAAGCTTTTGAATAATCTCTGCAGGTTTGAAACACCATGCCGCCAATAGTTTCAATGACATCATGTCAGCTAGTTCTTAAAATAATTTTAACCGGCCATGAGGACCAGAGATACAATGGCAATGAAGAAAGTCAAATGTTTTCACCAATACCGTTAAATAAATTATAAGTGAGGGAGTAATTTATAAAATTAATCCAGTATTCAGTTATATCACCGTGTCACCTTGATGTGGGAGGAAAACCCAAAGTGATGCAGGTCTCAGACGTCTGTTTTCCACTTTGGTGAAACCCACGAGAAGGAGTATGACCCACCTGGAAATATACTCAGGGTGAACCGGGATTCGAACCCGCGGTCATGCTTTTTATCCCCGCACAGCGAATTACAACGCCTTAGGCAATTTGGAAACCCCATGAAGAAAAGAACACCCAAGGTTAGAAGTCTAAAAGGACATTGTGCTCCCAAACTAATCGTAGTGGAATACATAAAGCAATGAGCTTGCAATGCATTGTCACTCGTCTTTGTATAAGGTTTAGTAATATTTTGTACAGTACAACACTTGAAGATTCTGGTTAGCATTGTGTGGTCAGGCTCGCTGACTTTTGTTGAAGCATTTTATTATGTCACAATTGCGTGGATCGATGCTCTGATTTCAATCACTGGAATGACTGTTTCATCCTAGATTACTTACAGGCCGCCGCCATATAGCTGGAATATTGCTGAGTGCGGCGTCAAACAACAAACAAATTACACAGTAAATCCTAAATGTGTTGGCCCGTAAACGACATTACTTTGATCCCCGACCTTAATAGTGGGTCGGCCGCGGTTGCAGAACGTTCGCTCCGAGTGTCCAAGAGTTAAGTGTGTCTTTTGAAACAGCTGATGGTCAGCTGGCCAACGAGGAACACACGAATGACCTTGGACACAGCAGCTACTGGTGGTCAAAATAATGACATTAATTAGTTACAAATATGAACACGGCATTACACTGCTTTTGTGGACACTGTTGCTTCATTGATTATCTCCCCTTTGTTTCAGTGGCCTCTGTTCCCGATTGGCCGCCTGGATCCTATGGCGTTCTGAGCACTTCCGCCGGATGTCCGTCGAACGAGTTCTTAAATCGAACCTATCAACCAGGAGTAGAGCTGACAAGCCCTGGCGCCAGTTTTCATTTGGGGGAAAACCTGACAGGCCTGACATTTTGTCTGAAGTATTCCACCTCCGAGGTGACAACATGGCAGACTGGGGGATACGCTATTCTTGCGGCGGACAGCGGGGACTGTCCGGCCGGTACGCACACTGTCAATTAATGTCAATAAGTATCTAGGCAACAAATTATATATATATTCTAAAAACTCAACCCATACTCATTTCAGTTTAAAGGTTTGGTTGTGATATATATATATATATATAGCTTCCTATGTTTGATGACCCGTGAGGGGTAGAATAGGTCTTAAAAGGCGACTATGCTTGTCGTAAGAGGCGACTAACAGGATCGGGTGGTCAGGCTCGCTGACTTGGTTGATGCATGTCATCGATCCCCATTGCGTGCATCGATGCTCATGATATTAATCACTGGATTGTCTGGTCCAGACTCGATTATTTACAGACCGCCGTCATATAGCTGGAAAAATTGCGTTAAACAAACAAAAAACCTTCCAAACACACGAGATATTTAGTTCCTTGCAGCCGGGTTAGAATTGATCTTCAGCAACCCATGCTTGTCGTTAGAGGCGACTAACGGGATCGGGTGGTCAGGCTCGCTGACTTGGTTGATGCATGTCATCGTATACCATTGTGTGGCTAAGGATATCAATCAATGGATTGTGTGGTCCAGACCGCCGTCATATAGCTTGAATATTGTTGAGTGCGGTGTTAAACTTTCCAAACACACGCATCGCGAAAAAAGTTCCATTTTAACTTTGTTCAGGGGAGGGTACTCTTTTCTCCCACCCTCATCACGTTGGCAATGGGTCAGTAAATAGATATATACACATATATGTCATCACGTAATTCTGTGTTCAATAAATGTTTTTTTAGCGGTCGTTGAATGTAAGATCAGATGCATACTCACTACCACATTCAAACAATCACCCACTCATACAATTGCGATTTTTTTTAGTTTTAGATACATGAACATCATGTCATTTTCACTGTTGAGTAGAGGGGGCACGGGTGGCACAGTGGTTTAAGGCGCCGCGATTCTCTGTGCAGAGTTGCGGCCCTTGGGCACGCCAGAAACCTTTGATTGTGGGTTCGAATCCCGGTTCGCCCCGATTATGTTTCTAGGTTTGTCAGCACCATACCCGTGCTCGTGGGTTTCAGCGAAGTGGTAAACGTCTGAGACCTGCATCACTTCGGGCTTTCCTCCCACATCAAGCTGACACGCCGCGATATAACTGGAATATTGTTAAAAGCGGCGTTAAACCCAACTCACTCACTCACTCATAAAGAATTTTGCTGAGTGCGGCGTTATTATTCACCCACTCCCTGCGACACAATATCTTGATAGAAATCCCCTCTTTCTGTATAGATTTCTCGATGAAAAACGTATCAACACCCAGCTTTACCCTAAGGCTGTGTCTACGTAACGACGGGTTCATCGAGGATGTCCTTTACCTTCCCACCGACACGCCATTTATTCTATTTCCGCTTGGAAAGCAGGGACCATGTCAAAGCGTAAACGGTGCGTATGAACTTTGATTAGATATTAGTACGATTGGCAAAAAACTTGTATTTTCACGAACGGACTTAAATATTTACAGAATGTGGTCCTGTTTCGGCCGATAATTGCTTTGAATCCACTCACAGAGTCTGGGTATAGATCGAGGTTTTAATATAAGTATTAAGAAAGGAGGATGGGAAGAAACAACACCCCCAATTATGACCCTAAACACAACGGCCCCTCTATGTTGTTACGAGACGAATTCCAAATTGAAAACAGGCCAGAAATTGGTTCTTCAGAACTAAATTGTGAAATCTGTAAATGACCACCCAAGATCAATGAATGATCAACAAATTACATGGAAGCAGACAGTTTTAGGTTTACAATACAAAAAGGCAGTACACTGGGTCAAATATGTGACGGTACCAACACGCAACAGGCCCTACACAACATGTGAGTGCCCTGAAGAATGTCCAGAACATTCTCACTTTGATTGAGAATCTGGAAGAGTCTTGGAATCTATCAGGGATTCGGTGTTTTTGGATAGGAACCCCCCTCGCTAGTGGTAAGTAGATAAGTCTGGCCGTAAAGGGCCTCAAAACGCCACCATGCAGCCTTCTAGTAACTGCCCCTTTGCGAAACTTCTCGAACGATCAATTCCTCTCCTGTGTCAACAACTAAGAGAGGTAACTCTTTCTGTTGCAATTTGGCCACCACAACACTCGATATTTTTCGAGCGTTTCAGTCGGTGCTGCCATCGATAATCACTGCAATGGAGCTTACAACAATCTCTCTGACCGCCTCCGTGGTCTAGTGATAGAGCGTCCCCCCGGAGAGCGGAAGGTCCGGTGTTCGATCCCCGACCGCGTCATACCAAAAGACGTTAAAAGATAGTACTTGTTGTTACCCTTCATGGCGCTCGGCATTAAGGGGCTAAAACAAGGACTGGTCGGCTCGGAGTCAGTATACTGTGTCTGAGTGGGGTATTCATGTTAAACTGCGGCGGCATAGTATCTCAGTGAGCTAGCACTATAAATCGGCATCAGTCCGGACTAGTACAAGCAGCCACACAAACACATACACGTACATGCACGTCGCTATATAAGTGCAATAATCTTGGACGCGACGTTAAACCCAATTTCACCTCACCTACAACAATCTCTACTGCTACATGACACTGTTTCTAGGGATGATGAGCACGCTGGAAAGCCTGCAGATAGCCACGAGGGACACGAGCCTGGAGCTAGAGTCTGGCGTCCCCTTCGAGAAAGACAGCAGGGGTGACCTGACGATGGGGTTCTGTTATTATTCAAAGTACGATAGAGGTAGGTCAGTTTCACCAGCAAATCACTATTAGAGTCAGTGAGTGTGTGTTTCAAGTTTCAAGTCGCTTCGAACAGAATTTCAGTTATATCACGGCGTATCAGCTTAATGTGGGTGGAAAGCGTTTTAGACGATTGCCTCTTTGGCGAAACCCAATTAGGAAGGGTATGGTTGACAGAACATTGATAATAATCGGTACAAATCAAGGATTAGAACCACAGAGTAGCGGATCCTGGCACGGTCAAGGGACGCAACTGATGCACTGGGCCCCCATGCCTCCCGAATTTAGAATGAAATTGAGAGTTTAGATGAATATAGGGATATAGAGTAAAAGTAAAATGTCATTTTGTATGCAAACTATCTATGAACAGACAATTCAATTTTCAGACTGCGGCGATGTGATAGAGCTGTCGAGTGACAATCCGTCCACAGTGGTTACCTCCCCTGGTTACCCATCTCCTTATCGTCCGTCGCTGGACTGTCACTGGTTGATCAAGGTAGCAAACAACATACTGAAACAATCATCCATAACAGAGTCCATGGGAATATAGTCCCCCAAGTACTCCTTGCCTGTCACTGTGATGGAATACCAGAACGAATGGGTTCCCATTGCCCAGTAGTTTCACTTGGAGGAGATTTCTGAAAGAAATAGAGATCCAAGTACTTCAGTCTTGTCATATCGAGGGGGTCTCGGACAGATGTGAGGTGAAATGGGGTTTAACGTCGCGTCCAAAATTATTGCACTGTGTGTGTGTGTGTGGATTTATAGTGCTAGCCCACTGATATACCATGCCGCAGTTTAACATGAATACCCCACTCAGACACAGCATACTGACCCCGAGCCGACCATCCTTGTTTTATCCCCTTATTGCCGAGCGCCACATAGGGTAACAACAAGTACCATCTTTAAACGTATTTTGGTGTGACGCGGCCGGGGATTGAACCCCGGACCTTCCGCTCTCCGGACGGACGCTCTACCTCTAGACCTTGGAGGCGGTCGGTCTCGGACTGAATAGGTCCTTGTTGTCCAAATGGTTGTCAATTCAGGGACATTTCGGGCACACAGATCCCATTACTCCAAGCTTGTCACCGCTGCAGCATCTGTCAATTGGTTTCCAAGATGCACCAGATAGTGTGCAAACATGGACACAACAGGAAATTCTGCGAACGTTTTATATATCTCTGTGTATAAAGTGTTTATGAGGTTATGTAATTGTAAGTTTGAAAAAACTCATTTGATTGCCTGTTCGACAACCACATTGCAATATGTTCGACGTCTTTTATTAATTCCCATTTTTATGATTACACATAAACTATTTCATAATTCATAATCATTATTTCATAATTTCAATATTTCATAAATATTTGGATAGTACTTTAGGCTTTACAAATGTATCGACACTCATGATAAGAAACATGTTGATAATGGGACTCACATTTCCAATTTTAATTCCGTTCGTTTCATGAAGCTGATCTCCGTGCTCTCATCTCCAGGCTCCGCTAGGCGCCACGATGATCATAAACTTTGAAGACTTTGACGTGGGTAAGACGGGGCAGTGTGGGGGCGACTCGTTCATCATCCGCTATATCTACCCCGGGCAGAACGCCCCCACGTAAGTTTGTTTGTTTGTTTGTTGTTTAACGTCGCACTATGCAATATTCCAGCTATATGACGGCGGTCTGTAAATAATCGAGTCTGGACCAGACAATCCAGTGATTGACATTATGAGCATAGATCCATGCATTTGGGATACGATGACATGCATCAACCAAATCAGCGAGCCTGACCGTCCGATCCTGTTAGTCGCCTCTTACAACTTTTAACGCTGTGGCAAAAAATATTATGAATAACACTCCCGAGGTGCTCGGCCGTATAAAACACTTTAGGTTATATTCAATATTTTTCGACCATTTGAACTTGACGGTGGAAGATCCCAGCAATGGTGTTTTTAAACAGCCGGCAAAATTCTTAAATTATGGTGCATGTCACATAACTCCGTCATTACAAAATGTGGGGATTCCGGGTTAGAAATAATCCCTCGGGAACAATTCTAGTCGTGCGAAACGACTTCCAGGTTCGGGTGTCTGGCTCGGTGACTTGGTTGATTGCGTGCCATCGGGATTTTAGCCGGAATAAGCGACTTCAAACAAACAAACAAACAAACATGTTCGTGTTCTTGTTACTGAAGGAGATGCGGTCAAGGCCTGGACCGGACCTTCCGGACCCTGAACAATACGGTGACCTTCCAGCTAAACACTGACCTCACTGACCACTACAGAGGCTTCAAGGCCAAGATTGATGTCGTCCTTCGTAAGTACTGACCAGGCGCATGATCCACAAACCTTAGCAACATGATGGTCGTAAAGTTAACTTTCGGAACAATGGCTTCATTTGGTGCCGGAAGTAAGATAACGTTTTGAGACAATTTAAAAAATACCTCTTATGGTATTTATAACGTAGCTGTGTGATAAGAAACCTGGTATCTTGTAGGCAGGTTAGAATTCCCACATGTTTGAATCTCATTGCTAAAAGGGCGATTGCCATGCACACTTACTGCTATCTTAATCGTTACACGCCAGCAAGGTTATCTCCCTTGATTTGGTTTTGACCTTTTAATTTAGATCAATCAAGAGCATCTTCCCAAACGTATGCCGAGTTCCAAGGGCTGTGAGTGTTGTTTGATAACAAACGGTCGTGCCCTGTTCTGGGAACGCAGTGTTTGGACCCCTGTGCGTTATCGTGTAATGAACAATGACGCCCTGGCACTCGTTGCAAACGTTTCGTACGATTGTCGTACGTCTATGATAAAGTATGGGAGTTACGGTCGTCTTAAGCAATAATCACTCTGTTAAATGAGATCCCGTTCCAGCGCGACCTCACCGCTGCGGCGAGCGTACGTCTTTGTTAAAATATGAGAGTTCCGACAGACGTAGCGCTATGGTCTTAATTTCTAGTTTGCGTAACTTGTGTATGCACAGCACTGTATTGTGGATTCCAGCGGAGAATCACTGCTTCAACGTGGCGGACAACGGCCGGAGCTACCGAGGCAGGGTAAACATGACCCGAGACCTGCAGCCCTGCTTGCCCTGGGACAGAGTCACGGGCTGTCCGCATCATTTGTTCAGCCCTGGGTAAGTCGTGGTCATCCGTGGTATGTGTGTCCACCGTAACAGTTATATAAACACCATACCACAACGTTACGTTACGCCATACAATTACCGCTACTGTTGCTTCATGCAACTACCGCTACAGTTACTGCTACGTCATTCAACTACCGCTACAGATACGTCATACAACTACCACGGCAACCATTGCGACATCATACAACTACCACCACAGTCACAGCTACGTCATACAACTACCACTATTAGTACGTCATACAACTACCGTTGCAACCATTGCTACGTCATACAACTACCTATACAGCTACGTCATACAAGTACCACTGCAACCATTCCGACATCATACAACTACCACTACAGCTACGTCATACAACTCCCGCTGCAACCATTACTACTTCATTCAACTACCACTACAGCTACGTCATACAAGTACCACTGCGACCATTGCTACATCATACAACTACCACTACAGCTACGTCATACAACTACCGCTGCAACCATTGCTACATCATACAACTACCACTACAGCTACGTCATACGACTACCACTACAGCCATTGCTACATCATACAACTACCTTTGAAGCTACCGCTACGTCATACAACTACCACTACCGCTACGTCATACAACTACCGCTGCAGTCACTGCGGCGTTCATATCGGAAACAGCAAGTACACTAAATAAATAACTTCAAGATGAAAGTCTTTGATAGGAATTTAGAAGTTGGAGTACTAAGTAAGGATAAGAATTTATGGATGAACAACTTCATTATCACAATTAACAGCGACGTTTCGGTGTAGGTTCTAACCCCGTTATCAAGCAAGCGTGATCACTCACTTGTTAGATAACGGTGTTAGAACCTACACCGAAACGTCGCTCTTAATTGTAATAAAGAAGTTGTTCATCCATAAATTCTTACCCTTACTAAGATGTGTTCGTATTAAAGATAAAATATAAGAATATTGACAGTGCAGATGCCATGTCGGGGTTAGACCTCATGCACCATCACATGGCGAATTAATTAAAATGTCATAGGAATTTCCTGGCCTCTAAGTACATTTGCCAACAAAGTGTGGTACTTTTAGGTTTATTTTGAGGACAACTCATGGGATCATTTCACTTTGAACCCAATTCTTCGAAACCGAAAGTTTCCGTTCACGTGGACGACATTTCTGGGAATCGCATCAAAAGACAAAGAAAAGTTCATTTGGATGCCATTTGTCTGATGTGTTGGTGATGAGAGGCCTGTCGTGCTTACTGAAATGTCAGATAACTGTGGATGCTGCAAATCAGAAATAAGTCTCATTTAATCACGTTTCGACAGAGATTTTGACGCAGTGTTGGAGGAGAACTTCTGCCGTAACCCTGACAACAGTTTCCGGCCATGGTGCTACACGAAGACCTACGAAGGCCAGTGTGACCGCGACTACTGTGATGTATGCGGACTCGGTAAACAATGTTCTAAATCAGTTTCGTCTCTCCATGGTATTAGCCTATTACCTGTCCCTTGCTCATTTTTGGAGCCTTCGTCTTAATTGTCCCTCAATAAACATTCATACGTGGGGCATAACGGAAATATCCCGTCGTTTCGACAGACCATGTACGTGTGTCTTTTGTGATAAGGTGACTGATGATGCGTTGGAAGTGTATGAAGTTAATTGACTCTTTAACACATTCTGGAATCAATATTTCCTTTTGATAATCCCCTTATTCGTAGGCGGAAAGGTATGGCGCTGTGCAACAGGAATAAACGAAGTCGTCACTTCCGGGGGCTCTAAAAGGGCTGGACTTTCATCTTAGGGTTGATTTGCCCACTCTTGGAAACTCATGTCAACGAGCCTTGGCAAATCTATTTTGTGGTGTTCCCTACAAAATCGTAATGATAATACGGTTACGTTTTATATGTTTTGGCATCCTATTTAGTCATTACCTTTCCGTGCAGAAAACAAGTATGACAACTTCCCTGACTGTGACCAGCTGAAGAAGGAGGGTCTGTGTGAGGGGGACCAAATCATCGCCGCTACCCGCTGTGCCAAGACCTGCGACGTTAAACTGGTCAAAGACAGTAAGGGACCGACTAATGAGCGTGGGCGTGGGCGTGGGCGTGGGCGTGGGCGTGGGCGTGGGCGTGGGCGTGGTCTTGTTGCTGTCGTGTATGTGTGTGTGTGGGGGGGGGAGATGGGAGTAGGTACCAGTATTGGTGCCTGGGTGCGTGTGTGTGTGTCGGCGGATGCTGAGAGTGTGATATGGGTTGTAAGAGACTTATTAATTAATGGCGTATATTTTCCACACAGCAACACGGTAAACACTACAGTTTTCCCGAGGGCAGCATTCACAATTATAACGTTTGTTTGTTTGTTTGTTTGTTTGTTGTTTAACGCCGCACTCAGCAATATTCCAGCTATATGACGGTGGTCTGTAAATAATCGAATCTGGAACAGACAATCCAGTGATTGATATCATAAGCATCGACCCACGCAATTGGGATCAAAAACATGCATCAACCAAGTCAGCGAGCCTGACCTCCCGATCCCGTTAGTCGCCTCTTACGACAAGCATAGTCGCCTTTTACGGCAAGCATGGGTTGCTAAGATCTATTCTACCCCGGATCTTCCCGGGTCGAAATATTAGGAGACATTTCGCTGAATACGCAAACTCTACAAAAGCGATAGAGATAACATCTGTTTTGAACAGAAGTGTATAAACAGAAAACGATTATCACACTTTGTGCATCAGTGTATATTTTCTCTTCTTCCCCCAGTGTCATCAAGCTGCAGCCGGCCACCCCCTGCCGCGGACGGCCTGCTCACGTTCGAGAAGAACTGGTACAACATCGGCGAAACAGTACTTACAAAGTGCCCGTATGGACCGGATGCAGTAACGAGGCGTTGCCATAGCGACGGATCATGGACACCCGCCAACTACGTGTGTGGAGGTAACGTATCCTAAACATTTGTTTAATAGGTATCGAATTCTACCAAAATTACCCACTTTTAGTAATAACCACTAGTAAGGAGCGCTGAAAGTAATGATGTTTGCTTCACTCCGATTGGCTTGATAGGGCTCAGAATAAGTTTAATCTTTATTGCGGGTACGTTAGGTTCAAAATAATATATGCTGCTGTTTGTTTTAGAAATAAAGATTTTTGTTTATATATGAATGACATGTTTGGGAAATAAGCCAGATCAGCATTCAGAAAAAAAATGCCACACCAAGATAAACCTTGTGTAGATTTGACACCGCGCCCAAGAAATAGAAACCGCTTCACTTTCGCCTGAAGCTTCCCCAAGGCGCGGTAAACCCATTTCACTCGCCAACGCTTAGGCCTTGGCATCTGTCCAAATTATATAATATCAGTCTGACATTTTAATAACGACACTTGTGACAGACTCGTCGACCACACGTTAAAAATTTGAATTAAAAGTTCTCATGTTGGTAATAAAACGATAAGGAAAGGGTGGGAACTCTTGGACTTAAATTCGAACACTCATCCCATGCATTATTTTATTTTTTATCGTCCGCCTAAAAATATTTTGAAGAATTCACGTTTTTGAATACATCTTTGCGACCTGTGAAGATCCGGGGTAGAATAGGTCCTCAACAATCCATGCTTGCCGTAAAAGGCGACTATGCTTGTCGTAAGAGGCGACTAACGGGATCGGGTGGTCAGTCTCGCTGACTTGGTTGCTGTATATCATTGATCCCAATTGCGTGGATCGATGCTCATGATGTCAATCACTGGATTGTCTGATCCAGTCTCGATTATTTACAGACCGCCGTCATAATGCTGGAATATTGCTGAGTGCGGCGTTAAACAACAAACAAACAAACAAAGAAATAATATATCTTTGCCATGTTTGTTATTAAATACGTAAAGAAAGAAATTAAATATAACCATGGTGTGAAATGTTTTGTACGTCAGTTTGCCCTAGCGGCTGGAGCTCCTTTAGGTCTGCCTGCTACAAGTTCTATCCCAGCCTCGTCACCCAGAGCAGAGCCTCAGACGTTTGCTCCACCCACAATGCCCACCTCGCCTGGGCCGACGACATCCCAGAGCTCGAGTATATTGTTACGTTGAGGTAATGTGCTTTAATGTCACAACTGATGTCGCTTTTGCGCTGCCTTTTAAATAACAGCGAAACTTCGTAAACTAGAACGCCTGTAACTCCATATCTCTTTCAAGGTGTAACTTTACTGACATGGAGAAGTACCGGCACCATTGTCAAAATTCTGCACTCTCCCCCTCGAACACGGGTTCCCCGACTTGTTTCGTTTGGTTCGTGTTACTGTGTGCGTAGAGTTTGTTTGGTATGGTTCGTGTTACTGTGTGCGTAGAGTTTGTTTGATATGGTGCGTGTTACTGTGTGCGTAGAGTTTGTTTGGTATGGTCCGTGTTACTGTGTGCGTAGAGTTTGTTTGGTATGGTCCGTGTTACTGTGTGCGTAGAGTTTGTTTGGTATGGTGCGTGTTACTGTGTGCGTAGAGTTTGTTTGGTATGGTCCGTGTTACTGTGTGCGTAGAGTTTGTTTGGTATGGTCCGTGTTACTGTGTGCGTAGAGTTTGTTTGGTATGGTCCGTGTTACTGTGTGCGTAGAGTTTGTTTGGTATGGTCCGTGTTACTGTGTGCGTAGAGTTTGTTTGGTATGGTCCGTGTTACTGTGTGCGTAGAGTTTGTTTGGTATGGTCCGTGTTACTGTGTGCGTAGAGTTTGTTTGGTATGGTCCGTGTTACTGTGTGAGTAGAATGTGTTTGGTATGGTGCGTGTTACTGTGTGCGTACAGTTTGTTTGGTATGGTGCGTGTTACTGTGTGCGAAGAGTTTGTTTGGTATGGTGCGTGTTACTGTGTGTGAAGAGTTTGTTTGGTATGGTCCATGTTGCTGTGTGCGTAGAATGTGTTTGGTATGGTGCGTGTTACTGTGTGCGTAGAGTTTGTTTGGTATGGTGCGTGTTACTGTGTGCGTAGAGTTTGTTTGGTATGGTCCGTGTTACTGTGTGCGTAGAATGTGTTTGGTATGGTGCGTGTTACTGTGTGCGTAGAGTTTCTTTGGTATGGTCCGTGTTACTGTGTGTGTAGAATGTGTTTGGTATGGTGCGTGTTACTGTGTGCGTAGAGTTTGTTTGGTATGGTCCGTGTTACTGTGTGCCTAGAGTTTGTTTGGTATGGTCCTAACTCTGTGTACGTAGACCGACGAACAAGCTCAATCCTACGGGAACATACAATTTTTGTATTTTTTAAAAATATTTTCTTTATCCTTCTCTGGAAACATGTACCAAGGCATTGTTTTTACAGTTAAGAAAACAATCTTATAAATTTTGTTTAAGACAAAAACTGGTAGCATCTAGATGTAGATTTTTCTAAATTGAAATACGGCGACATTGTCAACTCAGAGTTCTGGTGACCAGCGGAAATATTTCGAGTAATCTGTTATTCGAAACAGAGGGAGTCTGTAGATACAAATGTCACCAGTACCTAAAAGCTAAATTGTCTTAAACGAAATATCGAATTAAGTGTCTTCAAATTAAAGATGTTTTCTGTGATCGGATGAGAATACCTTTACACAACCTCAAGTAAAATATTTCAGCAATATCACGGCGGTAGGTTTTGTGAGCACAATACTCGTGCTGATGGGTTTCACCAAAGTGGTAAACGTCTTAGACCTGCATCACTTCGGGCTTTCCTCCCACATCAAGCCAGCACAGTGATATAACTGGAATACTGTTCAAAGCGGCTTTAAACCCAACTCACTCACTCACGTTTCTGTGAAGTATATACAAGGTATTTGCATTAAATCTTATTCAATGTCACAGGAACTTTTGTTGTTCAGTATATGTACAAGGTACTGTGCTATAATGGTACTGTCAACTGATGCTATTGCAGGCGGAAGTTATGGCGGATGTGGCTAGGCGCCAGCAGGGAGAGTGTAACGAACGTCTGGACCAACAATGATGGATCTAAACTGACCTTGACAAACTGGGCTCAAGGTGAGTAGTGACCTTGACCTTCACTGGAATAGAAGACGGAAACTCAAACTATTTCTTCCCCAACTTTTCTTATTTTAAATAAAGGATAGTTAAAATACCCTTTTATTGAAATTTTAACTTTTTTTTTTTCATTCTTTCAGGGGCTGCCAGAATTAAAGAAGAAAAGATTTGTTTGGTGATAAATCCGGAGGAACGGGGCAACACCATACGGGAAGAGAGTTGTAACGGCGTGATGCCGTTTGTCTGCAAATATCTGCCAAATAGTAAGCATTCAACGTTCACAAATCGAATCATAATAATAAACAGTATATTCCAAATATACCAGGTGGAGTGAAGTTATATTCTGTTGTAGACAGTATCCGCCATTTTGAACGCTGCATTTGGTAATTTTTTTCTAAGATTTTTAGGGTGCATTTTTACCTTTAAACGCAAGTATAAATATTCTACCCAACTTCCACAGGAGATCTCTAAATTCCGAAGGAGATTTCCAACTCCACTGTACTGCTTGTGTGTTGTGGTCTGGAACTATATCCTGTCTTGTACATGTTGGTATTGACGTAGAATTCATGGCAAAGAGGATGGATCGAGTCTCAACTGGGGGATTGGGTTTGCAGGGGGAGGGGAGGGGCGTTATGGTTATTCTGAGTGTGTGTGTGAGTGTGAAATACGTCACTTCTCCAAGACCAGGGCCATTATTTTAAATAATAATATTTTTAATAACGACTGTCGTAACTCCAATAATTAAACTTGGATTAAGTTTAACGACGATAGTCTTAGTGCTGAGATCGCTTTGTGAACGGTTCGCAGTGAACAATTAGCTATATAGTAAACTATAATATCAAATTAGAGGTCCCCAAAATAAGATTTATGATTATTAATAACGTCAAAGTATATACTAATATAACAGTATATATATGATGTTTCTCTTTTTCCGCCTGTCCTACCCTACACTATATATCCGTCCATCTATCACCTTGCCCGCCCTAATACAAATATGTGATTGTCCGGAAATTTGAAAAGGGGGAATAACTCTGCTAATGGCTTTTTCTATTCAATAAAAAACGGTTGCTTTTTCAGAGTCAAGAAGTTTCGAGACTATTACCGTCTTGAAAACTCCTGACGCTGTTATGGCAACCGTTACATCAGTCTTAAACAAAGGACAACCAGTTGTTTCCTCGAGGGGTGTTTATTTTATAATTGTAAACTGAACGGAGTTATCTCCCCTAGGTCGACGTGCGTGTATAAACCAACGTTGGGACTGCCATGCTGTGTTGAGGAGGAACCCGACAGTCTGCCGGGACTACCCCGAGTTTGTCCGCCATCAGTGTCCCTTCTCCTGCGGTTTCTGCCAACCATTCACCAGTAAGTTGAAGGGTTGTGTGATGTGTAAATGAGCCCTTCGTTGCCTGTTGGACTCACTCCATCGCAGTGATTACGACAGCCTCCGTGGTCTAGTGGTACAGCGTCCGCCCGGAGAGCGGAAGGTCCGGGGTTCGATCCCCGGCTGCGTCATACCAAAATACGTTAAAAGATGGTACTTGTTGTTACCCTGTCTGGCGCTCGGCATTAAGGGGCTAAACAGACGACTGGTCGTCTCGGAGACAGTATACTGTTTCTGAGTGGGGTATTCATGTTAAACTGCGGTAAGTTTTGGAACCTTTCATAAACCCCACCTCTGCAGTACATCTAAAAATTATTTCTGCACTAGCACTATACATCGGCATCAGTCCGGACTAGTACAAGCAGACACACACACACACACACACACACACACACGTGTATGCATGTTGCTATATAAGAGCAATAATCCTGAACGCAACGTTAAACCCCATTTCACCTCACCTCACCTGTACAAATCAAGTCTAGACCAGGCAAACCAATGACTGAAAACATGAGCAAATATCCTACGGGGAACACGCAATCCACCATGTCCTTGAACCAGACCACCCTTTTTATGTCGAACAATCGGGACGGGGTCGTCACGGCTTCAATAGAATAAGCGAGTTTACATGCTTTAAGCAATATTCCAGCAATACCACTGAAACATCAGAAATGGGCTTCACGTGTGGGGAATCGAACCCGAGTCTTCGGCGTGATGCGCGAACGCCTGAACCACGAGGCTATCACACTGACCTTTGTAGTTAGGAAAAATATCACTGACTGTAAGTGACCAGTATATGATGTGAAGTAATACATACATAGACAGGTTAATAGATGTTCAGCCCGTAATCCCCACGTGGAATAGGACAGAGTAGGCAATTGGTAGGGCTTCTTATAGGAAACAGCAACCTGCCTCGTTCAATGCTGCGTCGTCCCTACGGCGACGCCCGAGAAGCTGGTTCTCATAGCACAGATGTCACTGTTACTGGGCTAAATGGCCCAAAAGCGAAATATGTGAATTTCCGGTTTCCGGACCGAACCTAATCTAGAGACCCGACTTTTAACCTTTTTCTCGTTTTTATCGAGACGTAAATGACCATCCGGTATTGTCCGTATTTTATGCCATTAGCGTAATTTCTTGCGCTTCATGAACGATAAACCAGTTATTATCTTCACTTGAAAGCGCTTTTACTGACATACTGCAAGTTACCGTTTTCCAAAGAAGAAAAACACCAACGCCCTCTCACCCCCACCAACCCACCGATCTACTTGCTCTATTTTTGGATAGGTTGAAATAGGAACATGTTCGTCTCGGCGTTGTATTGCACGTGCTTGCCAAACGACCATGGACGTTCGCCTTGTTCCGAGAGGGATACCTGGCCCACCGTCATATTAACTAAATATTCGCTGTGAACAATGGTCTCGTCGGGTTTGATGTGATGATATATATGGTTAAAACATCTTGGTTGTTGTCCGGCGAGATGCCGTCAAGTCGTAGAATGACATCAGACTGTTCTGTCACGCTGAAAAAAATATATTCATAATGTCCACATTGAATAAGCCCATGGGCTTAACAATGCATGTATGTTAGAATATTGTGAAGAATCACCTGTTGTATAAATGCATAACGCATACTGCATTAATGCATGGGTAGTATAAATGCATTGTTATCTTTCACTGATTATACCGTGCAGTTTAGCACGTGTACATGGATCGACTTTCAAGAATAAACAGACCTGTATCCTATCATTTAGTTAACATTTCGTAAGTTTTGGAACCTTTCATAAACCCCTACTCTACAGTACATCTAGAAATTATTTATGTTTTCGGAAAATTAATCAACACAACAATTATTTGCCAATTATGAATATTCAATCAATCAATCAATCAATCAATCAATCAATCAATCAATCGTCGAGATATTGCTGGAATATTGCTGGAATATTGCTTAACGCGGAAAAGAATCAATCAATCAATCAATCAATCAATCGTCAGAAATTGCTGGAATATTGCTAAACGCGGAGTAGGATCAATCAATCAATCAATCAATCAATCGTCAGAAATTGCTGGAATATTGCAAAACGCGGAGTAGGGTCAACCTATCAATCAATCAATCAATCAATCAATCAATCAATCAATCAATCAAATGTCTTCTCGATTGGCGTAAATGCAGATACCACGAATTGAAATGATGTGGATGCATACAATTGTCGTATTTCATGTTAACGCATTTTGCTGTCAATTGTCACATTATCATAACTGAATGCTCGAAAATAGGAATTAAACTTCAGTTTGAACGTGTTAACGGGAAGTCTATTGATACGACGGCCAGAAAAGCGGCATGTCATCGAGACCTGAATTAACAACACCGCCTTTTGACCTTCAAGCATATCTCTCGATCAGACCCACGCAGCGTTTTGTTGCCAGTGTTGTTCCGCTGGAGCTGCACAGTGTGCTGTTTTTGTGACAGTTAATAGTATCTGAATGGGTATAACTTTCCATGGAAGCGATTCATCAATGTCACTTGAAAATAAAACCACTCGATGTTTTTTGCTAATAATATCAATGACATCGAAGTTTATTTGTGGACGGTCGACCATGTGTTTATAATGAAGCGTAGTGGTATATCTTTCGCCGCACACGTATGTGGAAAAGAAATAAAAAAATAATCTATCTTTACTCTATCTGACAAGTATGTATAACTGTGTTTTGTACTACTCAAAACAAGTTAAAGAACACAGACAATTGGAGTGAGTGAGTTGGGTTTAACGCCGCTTTTAACAGTATTCTAGTTATATCACGGCGTGTCAGCTTAATGTGGGAGGAAAGCCCGAAGTGATGCAGGTCTCAGACGTTTACCACTTCGCAGAAACCCACGAGCACGGGTATGGTGCTGACAAACCTAGAAACATAATCGGGGCGAACCGGGATTCGAACCGACAATCATAGGTTTCTGGGACGCAACTCTGCACAGCGAATCGCGTCGCCTTAGACGACTGGGCCACCCGTGTCCCCCCCCCCCCCCCCCCCCCCCCCCCCACACACACACACACACACACCTCATACAATTAGAAGACTGTGGTCCAATACCCACCAGCCATGACAGATTAACTATAGTCATATTAACAATTGGATGTTCTTAACTTCTTCTTGGTAGTCCATGTAGATGAGATGTCAACAATACCTTAATCATTTTCTGCATGTATCTGTTTTCAATTTTAATATTATTTTGACCCTAAAATATATATTCATACATTCTAGCACCATTCTGCAAAGTCACGACACCCCCAATGAACGCAGCTCCCTCTAGTGACGTCACGTACACATACATACCTCGTGGTGATGTCATCACCTACACGTGCATACCGGGAACCGTCTTGGTTAGCGGGCAGCTCAGCAGAATATGCGAAGAAAGCGGTTGGCTGTCAGGGTCGGAACCAGTCTGCGTTGGTGAGATTATTTCACCTTCTTTCAATAAAGGCAATACAAGCTGTGCATTCCCAAGTTTTAATATCATACTAACAAGACAATAACGTACGTCAAATATCAAAATATTTCTGAATCATAAGATAAGGCCCTGTTAAAATATGTAATATGTTAACATAGACTGCTAATAAAGCATATGTTCTTAGGTCCTCACTAATTTACTGCAAGTAAAACATCCATCTTCTGTATGTTCCTCATCTTATTCACTTCCAGTAAAACCTGACTTACATTTGCTTCAAATAAAACATGGACCTGACTTACCTTTTCTTCAAGTAAAACATGGATCCGAATTACATTAGCCCAAAGTAAAACGTGTTACACATCAGTCTGACTTACATTTGCTTCAAGTAAAACGTGTTACACACTGACCTGACTTACGTTTGCTTCAAGTAAAACGTGTTACACATCAGTCTGACTTACATTTGCTTTAAGTAAAACGTGTTACCCATCAGTCTGACGTACATTTGCTTCTAGTAAAACGTGTTACACACTGACCTGACGTACATTTGCTTCAAGTAAAACGTGTTACACACTGACCTGACTTACATTTGCTTCAAGTAAAACGTGTTACACATCAGTCTGACTTACATTTGCTTCAAGTAAAACGTGTTACACACTGACCTGACTTACATTTGCTTCAAGTAAAACGTGTTACACATCAGTCTGACTTTCATTTGCTTTAAGTAAAACGTGTTACCCATCAGTCTGACGTACATTTGCCTCTAGTAAAACGTATTACACACTGACCTGACTTACTTTTGCTTCAAGTTAAACGTGTTACACATCAATCTGACTTATATTAGCTTCAAGTAAAACGTGTTACACACTGACCTGACGTACATTTGCCTCCAGTGAAACGTATTGCACACTGACCTGACTTACTTTTGCTTCAAGTAAAACGTGTTACACATCAATCTGACTTACATTAGCTTCACGTAAAACGTGTTACACACTGACCTGACGTACATTTGCCTCCAGTGAAACGTATTGCACACTGACCCGACTTACTTTTGCTTCAAGTAAAACGTGTTACACATCGACCTTGATGGACTGGACCAGATGGATTGGTTAGTAAAACATGAATATTCCGAGACTAAATTCGCCGTCTCGATAAGGTGGACAACATGGAAATTTTCTAATGCTATCGAATGTACAGCCAGGCTAGATTTCATTAGATTCCGCGACACGAAAGGCTGATCGTTCGTTCATGTCCCCTCACACCCAAAATTCCAAATACATGTAATTGTCACACTTAGGTTTTGGTCACGGCTTGGACAATCAAGAAGGGACGGCATACATTGCAATCATGTAGGGATCTAACCCAGAACATCCGTGTTTAACCACTGGGCTAAATCCCAAAACTATCAAAAGGCACCAGTTCACCACAAGACCTATCTATGTGCCAAGTTTGGTTAAGATATCTCTCATGGTTCTAACCCAGAACATCCGTGTTTAACCACTGGGCTAAATCCCAAAACTATCAAAAGGCACCAGTTCACCACAAGACCTATCTATGTGCCAAGTTTGGTTAAGATATATTTCATGGTTTTTGATGTCTTCTCCGGAAACGAAACGTGACGGACGGACGAACGGATGGACGAGCGGAAGTACGGACGGACAGCACCCATTCCTATAACCCCCATTCCATTTCGCGGCGGGGATAATTAACCAGAAGTTGTTATCCATAAAGCTGTATGTTTTCTTATAAAACAATTACCGCCTAACTGAAACGATTGTTCACAGGGAAATGCTGCTCATTGAACGATTGAAGATTGAATGGTCGAACGATTGACAGATTGAATGTTTCACTGAAAAAGATAAATTTTCTTTTCAATGCAAACCCAGACGAGAATGAACAAGTCACCCCTGTCAGCCAAGTTGACATTATCAAGCGGGCCTACACCTGCGCCGTCAGCACCACCTACATAGGCAACAATAGCTTACATCGCATACAACGAGAAGGGGAGATAACCCAATGGCGATTCTACACGCGCGGTGCCGGAAGCACTGTTCTTCAGATATGGCGTCCGCGACCAGATGTTGGACCCCTTCAGTAAGCCAAACAAATTTAAACTTCACCCTAGGTCCGCCCACTGTAACTACTGTTAATGTTTACTGATACAATCCTGAACTACACTGTGCCAGAGAAAAATGGACACTTGGATGTCAAAATTCATGTCTTTACTGGTATAAAGTGAAAGTTTACGCACGTTTACCAACAGTATGCATTTTTACCAATGTTTATGCATGTTTACCAACGTTTATGTATTGTTACCTATGTGTTTATCAATTTTTACGAATGGTTACTCATCTATATCAATTTATTCGCGTTTTACCAATGTTTAAATATTTTACAAGGTATGATAAGGACTCTTTCTGGTCTCTTGGAAAAGCCAAATTTTAAAGTTACTTAATACCTTTAAATATTAAGTTGACTGTTATTAGACACGTTCAAATGACTGGCAAAAAAGTCTTGGTCATATTTTACACTTGCAATTTTGGACTTAAAGAGTAAATACGTTTTTGAACGTCGGGAAAATATCTATCTGTGAGAAAAAAACACGTGTCAAAATGATTTCTACAATCACAAAACTACTTCCTCCTAACCTCTATAGTCATTCTTATTGACACATTTTAACCAACGGCATGTTAACCTCATCTATTCGTTTAGTGCTACAGTAAAGTACGTTTATAACGAACACGCTTATAACGAACTGACGGATATAACGAACTGATTTTTTTTGTCCCGCCTATTTGCTATTGTTATACTGTATATATGCTTATTACAAACTACGGTTATAACAAACTAAAGTTAGTGGTCCCTTTGAGTTCGTTATAACCGTAGTTTACTGTATATGAACACACCTAAGGATCCCTTGGGCCTAAAATGGCCCTTGTCACACATTGAATTTTAATTCTTAAGTGTGGTAGTTTGAACAAATGTTTGCTTCATCAATGGTTTGTGTTGAGAAGTGTTAGCACCTACTCATTAAGAAATAACATTGACCAATAGCAAACGCGTATCACGTGATGGTTGGCCTCGCTTTGGTATAAGGCCAAATCAGGAAGTCGACACATGTCTGAGCGAATTGGTCTAGTTTCTGGTTTCTAATTTTTCTACAGATTTCAGTTTATTGGACAGAACATGGTCAACTACGGCCCTGACCGGGTAAATATCGTTGACATTCCTCGCGGAAGCAGAATCCAGGTGATTCCTGGTGACCTCATTGGTATCTGGTCGGGTCATGTTGCGTCACAAATCATGTGGAATTCGTGTGGACTTGAGGAGGGGTACCCGGAAGGAGAAAACAGCCTCGTTCTGGACAAACACATGACGACAGCGTCTTTCTTTGAAGTGGACACGGTCTATAACTGGAAAGATCTGACGTGCAGAACTTTTTCATTGACAGCTTACGTCAATAAGGTCAGAGTCTATGGACAGAACATTTGATATTCGATGTGTGTGTGTGTGCGTGTCTGTGTGTGCGTGCGTGCGTGTGTATATGTTGTGTGTGTGCGTGCATATGTATTTGTGTGTGCGAGAGAGTGTGTGTGTATATGTTTGTGTGTGTTTGTGTGTGCGTGCGTGCGTGCGTGCGTGTTTATATGTTGTGTGTGTGCGTGCGTGTGCATTTGTGTGTGAGAGAGAGAGAGAGAGAGAGAGAGAGAGAGAGAGTGTGTGTGTGTGTGTGTGTGTGTGTGTGTGTGTGTGTGTTTTGAGGGTGGGGATGGGGGTCAGGGGCATTAAGGGGGCATTTATCTTTGACATGAATTCTTGAATTTTTTTATTTTTTTTGTATAACCGGTCTGATTACAATCAATGTTCATTCATCTTTTTAATTCCCAACTGGATAGCTATGTTTTTAAGTAAACTACCGGGCAAAATAAAGTATACACTTTACTTTATAAAGTATACAGTATACAAAGTATCGGATTTGAGACAAAAAATAAAACGTTTATGGGCTGGGAACAGTCGTCTGGTGTCAAATACCCACTGATATATGATGCATGTAATATCGCCTATGATACCCGTATCCAATACGTCACCATCGAATAACTATTTCTTGTTTGTTTATATAAAAAAATTTAACCACCATCAAACATTGGTGTATATGTTCTCTTATGTTTTATTATATTTTTTTTATCATTTCTGTGTTGTTTTTGTCTGTTTTATAAGTAAATGTCTATCAGAGGCAAAGTTTCTTTCAAACACACTTTTGGCAACTGTACAATTAGTTGAAGCGCTTACCGTTAGAATGGGCCTTCAGCAACCCATGCTTGCCGAAAGGGGCGACTAACGTGATCCGGTGGTCAGGCTCGTTGACTTTGTTGGTGCATGTCATCGTATGCAAATTGCGAAGATCAATGCTCAGGATGTCAATCACCGGACTGTGTTGTCCAGACTCGATTATTTACAGACTCCCATGATACAGCTGGGGTACTGCCGAGGGAGGCGTTAAACAAAAAAAAACAAAACAACAAAAGCAAGTGAATATTTTTTTTCAGACGTACGAAGCACTATCACGCACGAATGAAATCCCAATCATATATGGCAAGCACGTCATTAGGGTAGCTGACCGAGCTTACACAGGGAACAACGCCTACTTCAGGATCCGTGTCAATGGCTCGCTGGTGCAGTGGCAGTTGTTTTCGCCAAATATCAGCAGGATTGGCCTTCAAGTGTGGCGAGCTGTCGGAGAAAACACGTACGTAATCTCATTTTTTGACCATTCAGGGGGAGGGGAGCAGTCGTCTTGGTCGCTTGTGCAGAGTTGCGTCCCTTATGCGTAACAGGAACCTGTGATAATGGAATTGAATCCTCGATTCACCCTTGCATCACTTTTGGCTTTCCTCCAAAATCAAACTGCACGATATGATATTACTGAAATACTCTTCAAAGAAGTATAACACTAAACTCACTTATTCCCTCTTGACCAGTCGTGGTCAGTGAATCGCAGTAACGAAATTGTAGAAATGAATCATGCCATCTAGATAGGCCATTCATATGTCACAGATTCATTCCGATTATGACCCCTGGTCCGTCAGCAGCATAAGTACAATAATCTTGAACGCGACGTTAAACCCCATTTTACCTTACCTCACCATACCTTACCTCACCTCACCTCACCTTACCTCACCTCACCATACCTCACCTCACCATACCTCGTCTCACCATACCTCACCTCGCCATACCTCACCTCGCAATACCTCGTCTCGCAATACCTCGTTTCACCATACCTTTTCCTCGCCAGACCTCACCTCAACATGCCATTCCTCACCTCACCATACCTCACCTCACCATACGTACCTCACCTCATCTGACCATACCTCACCTCACCATACGTACCTCACCTCATCTCAATATACCTCACCTCACCATACCTCTCCTCCCCATACGTACCTCACCTCATTTCAATATACCTCACCTCACCATACGTACCTCACCTCATCTCACCATACCTCACCTCACCATACCCCACCTTATTTCACCACACTGATCATGCTACTCTCAATGTTCCAGGTACACGTTCATTGGCCAGAACATGATCACTACAGTCAATAACATGTCACAAGTGGTGGACGTCCAACCGTCAGAGCAGATCAGTGTGACGGAGGGAGACCTCATAGGGGTGTCGTTGACAGATAAATATGGGGGGGCGTCCTACACTACGTGCCAGACTAGAAACAATCCCCAGGCGTTGCCGATGTCTTGGTTGAATAGCGAAAATATTGAGTTTCAAGCAGGAGCCAATGTGACTTTTAAGGCGATGAAGAGCTGCCGGATATTCCATTTTACAGCCGTTGTGAGGGCAGACACATGATTGCCTGGTTTATAACCAACAGGACACAAGGACGTATTGTAGATAGTAGTACCAAATTATTAAAGATTGTCATTTTACTTGTATATAGGAACATATAGTATGAATGTATGTATGTAAGTATGTGTGTGTGAGAGATGCATCTGTGGATGCAACGTAGATTCTGATGAGCCATTGGTACAACCAAGAGAGAGAGAGAGAGAGTTTACGCACGTTTACCAATGTTTATGCATGTTTATCAATGTTTATGTATTGTTACATATGTTTATCCATTTTTACGAATGGTTACTCATTTATATCAATTTATTCGCGTTTTACCAATGTTTAAATATTTTACAAGGTATGATAAGGACTCTTTCTGGTCTCTTGGAAAAGCCAAATTTTAAAGTTACATAATACCTTTAAATATTGGGTTGACTGTTATTAGACACGTTCAAATGACTGGCAAATAGTCTTTGTCATCTTTTACACTTGCAGTTTTGGACTTAAAGAGTAAATACGTTTTTGAACGTCGGGAAAATATCTAACTGTGAGAAAAACACGTGTCAAAATGACTTCTACAATCACAAAACTACTAGAGAGAGAGAGAGAGAGAGAGAGAGAGGGAGAGAGTGAGTAAAATTAACAATCGCGTACATCAGCCGTTTATTCTTTCATAGATGTTCACAGTTCCGTTTCTCATAACTGTTTTTCTTATTGTTTTCGTACATGCAGTACCGTTTCTCACCGTAGTACCGTTTCTGTATGTTTTTCTTATTCATACCATATGATAAAACATATATTTGTATGCTCGTGTTTGAGTATTCATAATGCATATTACTCAGGCTCAAAATTATCAATTTCTGTAGTTGCAACGTGGATTTGGATGAGCCATTGGTACAACCAGTAACTCTATATGGCAGTTCTATCAGGAGTTTGTATGAATGAAAACATTTACTTAACATTATAAATATATCCTTGTATTAAGTCGACACTCCTCAAATATAACTGCGTAAGGTGACATGGAATGGACTGCCAATGTTGCTAAACAACCACGTTTTCAGATTCTCCAAAGTTGTGTGTGCCGCGCAATAGACCACGCCAGGGTATCCACTCGTAGTTGCCAGAGCGCAGTCATGGGCACAACATGTGTATAATTTATCAAAAGGGTTGAATATTTATATAGGCACGACTTAATTGTGCCTAGTATTGATTTACAGTTGAAATTAATGCTGGCGTGCTGCACATTCATTTTCTCTGGGAATCCTTAACTTTTTACCAGGAGTATATATACCATTGGAAAGAAATAAGGCAACGAATACAGCAGGAATCGTGTGTTTGGCAGGAAAGTCTGCACGTATCCAGAGTGAGTGAGTGAGTATGGTGTAAGGCCGCTTTTAGCAATATTCCAGCAATATCACTGCGGGGGGCACCAGAAATGGGCTTCACACATTGTACCCATGTCGGGAATCGAACCCGGGTCTTCGGCGTGACGAGCGAACGCTTGAACCACTGGGCTACCCGACCGCCCCCACGTATCCAGAATATAACCGGAGAATGTCAGATTATGTAGAGATTTCGTTCTCTAACATTTCGCTGTGTTAGTTGTTTTGTATACTGGACGATTTTGTATGTAACAAAAACAACAACTATCAAGTAAGTCTGTTGTATGTATGCAGGTTTATCCGAGGGAGGGTTGGAGATGGGTGTGGCTTATGCTGTATCACATAGTGTAGGAACCACAAGCTGGGGTTGATATCACACCCTGCTGGGATGAGATATAATACGCTACAACGGGGTAGATATCACACACAACATCAGATCAGATATAACACGCTACAACCGGGTAGATATCAACCACTGCAGAAGATCAGATATAACACGCTACAACGGGATAGATATCACACAACAGCAGATCAGATATAACTCGCTACAACGGGGTAGATATCACCCACTGCAGAAGGTCAGATATAACACGCTACAAAGGGGTAGATATCACACACTGCAGAAGATCGAATGCGCTATAACGGGGTAGATATCATACACTTTAGAGATCAGATATAACACGCTACAACGGGGAAGGTATCACACACAACATCAGATCAGATATAAGACGTTACAATGGGGTAGATATCACCCACTGCAGAAGATCAGATATAACACGCTACAACGGGGTAGATATCACCCACTGCAGAAGGTCAGATATAACACGCTACAACGGGACAGATATCACACACTACAGAAGATCAAATGCGCTACAACGGGGTAGATATCATACACTTTGGAAGATCAGATATAACACGCTACAACGGGGTAGGTATCACACACTACAGAAGATCAAATGCGCTACAACGGGGTAGATATCATACACTTTGGAAGATCAGATATAACACGCTACAACGGGGTAGGTATCACACACTGCAGAAGAGCAAATGCGCTACAACGGGGTAGATATCACACACTTTGGAAGTTCAGATATAACACGTTACAACGGGGTAGGTATCACACACAACATCAGATCAGATATAACACGCTACAACGGGACAGATATCACACACTACAGCCGGGCAGTTCCAACATGGTGGACCGTCACATTGTAATACTATTCCTTCATATCCACGCATCATTCCAAGCATTATTAAATGTTCTGTTGTGATTGTTCTGTGTGTATTTTGTGTTTGTTCTTGTTCACAAGGTACATAGCTGTCAAAAATAAATTTCCATATTTTCACGCAAGTGCCTTGTGTGCGTCTTTTCCCTTATTTCTTACATTTGACGAAGCCCGTTATTGTGTGCCCAGACCGTGGTAACATTGTGTGTTTCGAGTGTGGTGAGACAAGATTCAGGAAGACGCTGGTTCGATGTATTTTTATTCCCTGACTCTGTACAGGCTTTCCACGTGGCGGTTTAAGTTATATTCAGGCCACATTGTAACGTGAAAGTTTCTGTACATTCATATTTTATAAATAAAACCGTCGTCGGAGCGCAGCTCAATCACTAGTAACAGACCAACGATTTAATCTAAAACTGGTTTTTGAAAACGAAACAATATTTCATTGCATGCACAAAGACACAATATACTAATCAAGCTATTGATCAAGCACACTCCGGACTAACCTCCAACTATACCTCTGATACCTGCACGGTTCCCCACCACAGCTCCCCAGCCCAGTTACCAAGCACAGTTCTCAAGCACGGTTCCCCAGCACGGTTCCCAAGCACAGCTCCCCAGCACAGTTACCAAGCACAGTTCTCAAGCACGGTTCCCCAGCACGGTTCCCCAGCACAGTTCCCCAGCACAGTTCCCCAGCACGGCTACCAATCACGGTTCCTCAGCACGGTTCCTAAGCACGGATACCCAGCACAGTTCCCCAGCACGGATACCCAGCACAGTTCCCCAGCACGGATACCCAGCGTGGATACCCAGCCCAGTTCCCCTACACGGTTCCCTAGCACGGTTCCCCAGCATGGTTCCCCAGCACGGATACCCAGCACGGTTCCCCAGCACGGTTCTCAGCAGTTCCCTAGCACGGTTCCCCAGCACAGTTCCCCAGCATGGTTCCCCAGCACGGATACCCAGCACGGTTCCCCAGCACGGTTCCCCAGCACGGTTCCCCAGCACAGATCCCCAGCACGGTTCCCCAGCACGGTTCTCAGCAGTTCCCTAGCACGGTTCCCCAGCACAGTTCCCCAGCATGGTTCCCCAGCACGGATACCCAGCATGGTTCCCCAGCACAGATACCCAGCACGGTTCCCCAGCACAGATCCCCAGCACGGTTCCCCAGCACGGATACCCAGCACGGTTCCCCAGCACGGATACCCAGCACGGTTCCCCAGCACAGATCCCCAGAACGGTTCCCCAGCACGGTTCCCCAGCACGGATACCCAGCACGGTTCCCCAGCACGGATACCCAGCACGGATATCCAGCACGGTTCACCAGCACGGTTCCTCAGCACGGTTCCCCAGCACAGATACCCAGCACAGTTACCCAGCACGGTTCCCCACCACGGATACCCAGCACGGTTCCCCAGCACAGATCCCCAGCACGGTTCCCCAGCACGGTTCTCAGCAGTTCCCTAGCACGGTTCCCCAGCACAGTTCCCCAGCACGGTTCCCCAGCACGGATACCCAGCATGGTTCCCCAGCACGGATACCCAGCACGGTTCCCCAGCACGGATCCCCAGCACGGTTCCCCAGCACGGATACCCAGCACGGTTCCCCAGCACGGATACCCAGCACGGTTCCCCAGCACGGATACCCAGCACGGTTCCCCAGCAAGGTTCTCAGCAGTTCCCTAGCACGATTCCCCAGCACGGATACCCAGCACGGTTCCCCAGCACGGATACCCAGCACGGTTTACCAGCACGGTTCCTCAGCACGGTTACCCAGATAACAAGGAGACCTTTTTATTTGACGATCGAGTACATAATTCTTTTCAGAGCGCTTCCTTTAGGGGATTAGAGCCTATATACCTCTGCCTGTGATAGTCTCTCTGAGACCTGTGATGAAGTCATCAGTCTTACAACGAGCCTTGCTGATCACCTCTGATTAAATCCAATGGTATCCGTTAACGCTGAGGCTGACGCCTGGCTATAGCATTAGAGCAAAGGAGACGCTAATCTTCTGGAACCCGCCTTTAATGAGAATTCGATCAAGCATAGTTTGGAGGAAGCTGTATAAATAACATAACTTTTAATTTTTTTTAGACCAAACACTAGTCTGATTGAAGTGAAATGTCAATATGAGATGGTGACCCATTGCACAAATCTGTTAGATTATATAATAGTAGGGGCGCACATGAAATAGATTTGAAATTATAACTCATCTTGACAAAGCATCTTCATTAGCTTCTTATAGAGGCTGTCGTTACATTTCTCGAATTCATCTACTTGAGTTCTTTTCCAATTGATGAAACGCTGCGGGAACATTAAATCGCAAAATAATGGTCTTTCGTCCTTTAATGACAAGTATATTTTATTAATTATAAGGTACAGTTTCATGTACTGCAATCTCATTAAAACCAGATCTAAGTTCTCGCTGCCGCTAAACAAACATCTGAGAACATCCCATTACGGGTCACGTCAAAACAAACTGTCGCGAACTTTGACCGACCACTGAAATGACCAACAAGAAGTCGACATCAGCCAATTAGAAAGCAGCTTTCTGGAGCTTTACGGCATTCGTTTCAACCTGGCGACTTCCATTTCAGACTACGCTTGAAGAATATGTTGACACAGTTCTCAATTAAACTTTTGAAAACTGAACAAACGAACATTCCGGAATGTCTAATATATGGTTGAGATTGCATGGCAGTGCTTCCCACGTGCTGTTCAACGCCTCCTCCGTTCAAACATCCCACGGAAGCGAGGGACAGACGATTATTCTGACGGAATCAGTCGTAAGGGTCGTAACTGTCGTTCGGAATACCCCGGGTTAACCTTTTCGAGGTTGCATGATTAGAAAACACATTCCGACTGTCACTTTCATGATCTGGTAAGCGACGCTTTGATTGGTCTGATGAAAGGTCGATCTGAGGTGACCCGTAATTGGATGTCCTCAGATCTTTGTTTAGCGATAGCGAGAACTAAGATCTGATTTTAATGAGATTGCATGTACTTGAGCTATACAATTTTGCAGTTGAAATTTAATTCCGTTTCTTTTAAAATGCATCGAATAATACGATAGGGTATTATTTTATTAATTTCGATTCTTGCCAAACAATAACTTACAAGATGTTTAAGAGTGTAATGAATCCTATGCACAGAGGGTCGACTTTATACGACATGAACACGATATTAGTATTGCGTGAAACTATAATACACCCCAAAGAAATAATCCGTGTGGTTACTTTGTGAAAGGACCGCCTCCGTGGTCTAGTGGTAGAGCGTCCGCCCGGAGAGCGGAAGGTCCGGGGTTCGATCCCCGGCCGCGTCATACCAAAAGACGTTAAAAGGTGTTACTTGTTGTTACCCTGTCTGGCGCTCGGCATTAAGGGGCTAATACAAGGACTGGTCGGCTCGGAGTCAGTATACTGTGTCTGAGTGGGGTATTCATGTTCAACTGCGGCATGGTACTTTAGTGAGCTTGCACTATACATCGGCATCAGTCCGGACTAGTACAAGCAGCCACACACACACACACACACACGTACATGCACGTCGCTATATAAGTGCAATAATCTTTGACGCGACGTTAAACCCCATTTCACCTCACCACCTCACTTTGTGAAAGTCACATTTGTGGCAGAGGCTACAAGGGAGACAATCCGACTGACTCAAATCACGGTGCGGAGGGGTGTGGATGGGACTGTGATGTGATATGTGTGGTATGAAACCGCATGGCGTAGTTTGGTGTGCCTTCCGCTGCTATCAGATTCTAGAAGACGTTATGCGTTGCGGTGTTTTGCGGCTGAAGACATTATCAGGATCGTAGGTTATTATATTCACAACTCGCCTGTACATGTACCCGTCATCAGAGGCATGTAAAGAGAAGCGTCCCTTTGTTGCTGGTTGCTGGGGGCTACGTTTGGATTGTTTTGTTTTTGTTTGTTTGTTTGGTGTGTAACTCATATATACGATCTGTCAATAATCGTGTCGCCGCAATTAGCAATATTCGGGTGATTTGGTTGACGCATGTCATTGTACCCCAACCGCTTAGGTGCTCATGATGTTAATCACTGGATTGTCTGGTCCAGACTCGATTATTTACAGACCGCCGTCATTTAGCTGGAATATTGCTGAGTGCAGCGTTAAACAACAAACAAACAAACAAAGCACACGACGCCAGTTGTAATTGTGTGAAGCGGAAACGTCACTCCTCCAGAAGTGTATCATTTGATGAGAAGTGTATCATTGATACACGGCAAATAACACCATTGGCATCCCTCTCCAGGACATCGGAAGTATTTATGAGCAGCAAATAGTTAATAAAGCAAATAAAATATTAGGTTTATGTTTTACATTGGTAGTATTCTTCCGTGACGGACGTGATGCAGGTCTTGAAAGCTTATGACTTTGGCGAAATCCACAAGCACCGGCATGGCGCAACAAAAGTGGAAGCTTAATCAGGTGTAAACGTGTAATGTCTCAGTCGACTAAACTACCCGTGCCCCTAGCTATGAATGAGAATGGCATTAAATTAAGTCATGGTAGTAATCAGTTGCCTGGTTGAAAGTTTTCACCATCAACGTGAACTGTCGTCTCCGTGTGTTACCATGTATAAGATATACTGAAAAAAAAAAAAAAAAAAAATGTATTAGATATACTGTAACCTGGATGAATACGGTATGAGATGTCAAACTTGTCTACTAACTCGATTTGTTGTACTTGTTGAGATTATCATTATAGCCATGTTGGTCTCCATGCCAACAACTCTGTCACACGATAAGGGGGCACGGGTGGCCCAGTCGTCTTAGGCGCCTCGATTCGCTGTGCAGAGTTGCGTCCCTTGAGCACGCCAGAATCCTATGATTGTGGATTCGAATCCCGGTTCGCCTCCATTATGTTTTTAGGTTTGTCAGCAGCATACCCGTGCTCGTGGGTTTCACCGAAGTGGCAAACCTGCATCACTCGGGGCTTTCCTCCCACATGAAGCTGGCACGCCGCGATATAACTGGATTTCTGTTAAAAGCGGCGTTAAACCCAACTCACTCACTCACTCACTCACTGTCACACGATAAAGAGAAATGCGTCAAAACAAACATGGAGTGACAAAAAATGCAGACCTACACTAACAAATTATATTTTTGTTTGTTACACTCAGCAATATTCCAGCTATATGTCGATATATACATACACACTGTAACCAAGGGGTGTTCGCGAAACATGTCAGGCTTGAGGGTGTCCTGAGACCGTCCAAGTTATATATGTTTTCAAATAATTTTGTGACCTTACAGATTATCCAGACAAGCCACAACTCAACTGGTTAGTTCATTGAAACGCCGGAATTCCGTACATATATACAATTTGTACATGTCAAGCATATTTCAAACATATTGAATTCATTTGCACTGATGAAATCGTCATTTGAAAATTATCATATACAGCTTAATGACTATATATATATGGCCCAGTCGTCTAAGACGCCGCGATTCGCTGTCTCCTGGGCACACCAGAAACCTATGATTGTGAGTTCGAATCCCGGTTCGCCCCGATTATGTTTCTAGGTTTGTCAGCACCATACCCGTGCTCGCAGGTTTCACCGAAGTGGCAAACGTCTGAGACCTGCATCACTTCGGGCTTTCCTCCCACATTAAGCTGACAGGCCGTGATATAACTGGAATAATGTTAAAAGCGGCGTTAAACCCAACTCACTCACTCACTCACTTATCTCAGTCACTGTTTGTTATTCTAGCAGATAAAAAAATCATATTAAAATATAAATAGATTTCAACATTGAAAAACAGTTTTCTCAACATACGACACGAATTCTATTTTCGCATCTGAACAAACAACGTCGTAAACATTTAGACCAAGAACTCTTAAATCTTCTTTTCATATTACACTCTTCAAAAACACCTTGCGACTAATCAACATGTCCGGACACGTGATAAGAAGTCAGTTACCTTGAACTACAAAACTTCAGACCAACAAACAATTCCCAGCATGCACCTCCTGCCATCTCAGAACTTTTAACTTCCGTAATACAGTACTAAGCACAGACAAGACGCTGAACAAATTTTAACAGTGTACCTCAGGTTAATAGGAAAAGCGACGGCTAAACAGTATTAATCTTGATTTGATAATCTCGGATGATAGCCAGTGGATCTGGAGATTTCAATTGCCTCTGGGCCCACCATCATTATTACCGCAGTGGATGGTCAGCTGGTTCAAGTTACTGCTCCAGATAATTATTTAAAGTTGTATTCCAGCTATGTGTTCCCAACTGTTTTCGTGCTGTTTGGCAAACTGACGACCATTATATTTTTGGTGGCGTTTCTTTTGTCCCCGGTTCATATTCTCCGTCCGCGTGACACCATAAGACGTAAAAAGATGTCCTGGTGCACTTCCATCGAACTTCAACACAACACAAAACACAGTATTGCATAACATATGACCATATTTCAACAAAAGATATCATCA